GGGGTGGGTTTTCATCGCGCTCTCGTATGCGCCTCCACTTTACGAGGATTCTCTCGAGATTCCCAAATATATCTGCGAACAGTAAACTCGGTTGTACGCCTGAGAATATTTGAACTTCCGGTCTCCCAGATATCGAAAGTAATGGCTCGCTTTGCATCCCGTATAATATGGCCGTTCTCGTTGAGTAAATAAATCGGTCGATCCGGAGTCTGCCGACTTTTCTGTAATATCCAAGACTCGTGCGCGAATTTTACGTATTCGACGAGTAGAAATCCGGCGAAGAATGTGCACGTAGTTTTTCTTACCGGAGGGAATATCTGAGAAAATGATACCGGGAGGAAAAATTGCGATTTTTTCTCGTTATGTCATCTTTATTCATAATATTACACTTTTGTAAGGAATATATCTGGAAGAATTCTTTTGTTATTCGTCACTGTGGGATGTATTATGAATAGGGATCAATTATTTTAAGGGAAAGGCTGCATTAATTTGTGAAAACGGTTGTTTACTTCGAAAGTTTTAGGGTTGATCTTTTCATTGATGTGATAACAGATATTGGGGGCTGTAGTTTTGCGGATTAATTTTGGGATGAACGACCGTTTTTACTGGGAATTACTACTTGTTCCACCCTTTACGTTGTTTTCACTGGTATCCTGCATCCCATAGTTCGCGAGATTTCCACAGCATTTATGGTTGTTGCGGTGACGTTAATTTACGCAGGTTTCGGTTCACGAGTACTGACAAAACCGTGGAAATTAATGACTGAAGTTGCACAGACTGCAGCAATGCAGAAACCGGTGTTGGTGTGCAGGCAAACCACGAAGTGCTTTCCACTGCTCGATCGTAGACAATTGCCAAATATTTACCGCGATCGTCATTAGGGACATAAATCAAGAGCTGACAAGGAAATGTCAATTTTCCCGCTACATCACATTTGCATAAATTATTTCAATTAAGACGGCGTCGTTCTCTCCAAGTTCCGTCCGTACACTTCTCTCAAACATTTTGTTAAAGTATAATTAATATCTCTCAACGAGACAACACAACATTCATAGAATAGTCATTTTCTGTAGAAATTAATTTCCCCTTGTCGCGTTTTAGTTTATGAATTTTTCTTCTGTAATAAATAAACAGGGGAAATTGAAAAGTGCTACGAGTATCCGAAGACCTAGAATCTCCTCTGATGGGAGTCGAATTATACTTTATTAGATGCATTTTCTTCCTTTTTCGTGGGAAACTGCCAGGAAAATTAATTTTATCGGAACGTTCCTAAACCAGCTATTAAGCTTCCCCTCCGATTCATCGGGATGTTCTCCTTAACTTTTCAACACCGATGAACAGAGGTTTCACGTAGGTTTACTCGCGGAAGTTGGGCCGATGGAAACTGCACTTTGCACTTTCCACGTAGTTGCACTTACAAAAAGCTTCGGGCTATTTAGGGAGTGTATGCCCCCGACTGAAAACGTGTGTTTACCCCCGAAAACATTCCTAATGGGAACTCTGACACCTTTCAATCGTGATGCCAAGAAATTCACATACAATAGTAGGCACGTATCGCAAGATACCCTGTGCCATGACATACAATTCTCAAAAGCCTGCACTTATATTTTAAATCATAACTGGACAACTCTTCCCACTTGAATTTTCATTGCGAAAACTTATATTCCTTTTGAATTCGGGACCTCTACGGATTATTTAACATTTGAAAATGAAATGAAACGTATTTACATGCAATGTGAAACCTCGCAATATACCCCTGAGTTACGGTGATGAAATTCTGCACTGTTTCTTAACTCATCGCAGAAATTGTGTGCAATTTAACGTAGCGCTTAGCAATCGCATTAACGCAGCGGGACATGTAGTGAAATTCATGGGTCAATAAATAAATTCATCATGGATCAATTTCGGATTAATTACGAATTTGTGGGAGTCGTAATCAAACACCTGTGCGCCATTACCGTTCATTAAGGCCTGAAAAAGAGAGGAAGTCAAGCTGAAAACGAGTGCATGGCATTAATTGCGTCACACCAGGAATAGGATGGACAACAATAGCTGCAGCATTTTGTATTAATGCGGAAATTTGTACTCCTCGGGGTACAATCCTTTCTTGCCTGAGGATGGACGAGTTTCAATCATTTTATGCAGTGTACAAGCATATGTCTAGATACTGCAAGCGCAATAACCACAGCTATGGCAACTATCGTTCGATTATTACGCTCCCGTTCGTTGTATTCAGGTTCTTGGAAATAGAGATGGGCATAAAATATGAAAATATATGTACATGCTTTCATTACTGTGAAAATGAACTAGGTCAAAGAATCCGAAATCAGAAAGAGCCCGAAAAGTATTTAACAGAAGTATTTCAACCATTCGTATGCTTTTATAAAATAGTTAACGAAACCGAATTTTGTATAAATGATTTTTTTTTAGTTCTGTAGAATGAGGTGAATTTCATCAATGAGAATATTAATTGTGTGAGTTAACGATACATTTTAGTTGAGAGAGTTACGATTGAGCATTTTGAGAATTTATAATTTCTTGAAATTTTGCGAGTCGATTGTTCTTGTATTTTTAAAGAAGTTTATGTGTCTTTTTATGATTCTGAAAAATTCATGCATTCAATGGTCGCCACTGCACCTACGTCATTTGAATTTCCGAGAGAGATTGGGAAACGAACGAGAGAGAACGAACGAATAGGTTCAATAGCACGACGTCATTAAAGCAATTAGGAATTTTTCAACGGTTTTCATGAAATCACGAGTGCTGCGTCACTCGAGGAAACAATTTTCTCTTTTAGGAGCGAAAGCCCAGAGGGAATGGAAAACGTTTTCCCAGTTTGAGCGAAAGAAAGGAATCCATCAATGAGATTGCAATCAGAAGTGCTTCATATTAATTGTTAAGAACCTCTCTGCCAATACTATTGCAAATCACTCTCTTAATGAATAATAATTAAAAGTCGACTTACTTACGTACAAAAAATCTAAAAGTAATTTTTTATTACTTATAACAACATAAATTCTATGGATCGATTTGCGCACACTGAAATATAAAATAAAAATCAATCCTTAAATCGCATTTAATGTCGTTAAGCAACTTTCGCATATTGATAAAGTATTAAATACATTTTCTATAAAATGGAAAGACGTTGCCTCGTCCTTTTATAACAATCATTTCCTACGACGACTTTACGAGTTCAGATGAGCGTAAATCGGTCTTGCGTGCAATATTTACTAGCGAAGTAGTACACGGCTCCTCCGACAGCTTTGCAAATTTAATCTGGAGCACTCGAGGCGAGGATATACCGATTATTGCAGCGCGTCTTGCAGCCCCGATAATTAAGAACCACTCTTGCAAAAGAAGCACGCTGGGGGAAATATGCAATATCACCCCACTCCAAGTCTTAATTACGGTGACATGGTTTAATGGAAACTTACTCGTTACTCTTAAATTCGGGCAGTAAATTAACTGTGTTCTAACACAATTCCGCTCATATATAAAGAAACATTATTTTACACTTTAATATAACTTTAATGCATGCAAAGTTCAATATCCCACGGGATATTTATTATAATAATAAATAAGGGTTACAAAAATCCTGTGCATAAAAATTCAAGTAAGAGGAAACGAAATAGGTTATTGTAATGTTGACGTCTATACATCTTGTGCGATGGAAAACGTTGAGAATTTCCAAAGTGATAAACAAATATATATTCCATTCCATATGTTTATCAACAAGGTAATTGTAGAACATTGAAATACAAATTTCAAATTGTTGAAAGACATTGCATCTTACGAGGGTTTTAAATGTAAAAAAGAAATATATTTTGCATTACTAACTTTTATTAGATATCTTGTTTTTACTTAATTGTAAAACACTCTCTGATATCACTTCCTACCGAAGTTATTCCAGGCGGCAAAGCCGTGCTCCGCCCTGGACATGTCCGGAATACGTGCCGCGTTTAACTCGATAAGTACAAGGTATCGCTTGGCAGCTAATTGCTTTTACCTGCCGGTTCGAAAGCATCGTGTCACGAGTAGCAATTACACCGGGCCTGCATCGAGCCACGATTAATTCTCGGGTAATCCGAGTTTAACCCTTGCGACGTGAAGTCGGGCTCCGGTCGGGACTTAACTCTTTCTGGGGGTAGGGGTTTACTTAACGATCCGAAAGCTCAAGGGTGTCACCTTCTTGGGGGAGGATTACCTCGAGCATACCGAAAGATCTTGACTAAAGCTCTTAACACATTGCTTTCCGCCAACTTCGAGACTCGACGTGTTTCCCGATATGGAACAAGGGAAGTCTTCATTTTGACAATCTTCCCTCCCTTCGAGATAAGAATGTATATTTTAATCGCCATTCAAAATTTTCTGTTTATTTTTTTTTTTAGGATTCAGTTGAGGAGTGTTTGTATCTCTTCTGCGAGTTTATACGAATCATATATTTTCCCTAAAGTGTAATTTTCAGCATAGCGTTATTTTTTTTTTAATTTTCACGAACATTTGTAGTAATTATTGCCTACTTTAATGATGTCTTCACGAGGCATATATCTGTGCTAAATATAGGGTAATATCAGAATATTTTATATGACTCTTGATATCCCGATTTTCTTTTTATAGTAATTCTCGAGTTTATTCAGTTTTGACATTGGCAACCGCATTCTCGATTTGAATTTTGCCAATTTTCTCGGCCCCCGGGGATGGTTTTGGTTTCGTACGATGTCATGGTTGGAAAAAAAAAATGGAAAGAGTGATACATGAAATATTCATTTATTTTTACGGCCAATCAAACGGCCTGCCCGCGAACGCAGGTACACGCAGTGCCTTTCAGCGATTCCCGCTTCAATACCGCAAGCATTCTATTCAATGGATGATCAATCAAAATTGCCATTGAACCGGTCATTCGCGGAATACTATTCGATCGATTTGTTTTGAGTGGGTGCTGTTCATCCCTGACGGATTACATCGACTAACCATGTATCTTCCGCTTCCTCTTGTTACAGTTACAAAATTCATCCGCATCGGGATCGCCGACAAAAACGATAATCCGCCTTATTTTGATAAGAGCCTCTACGAGGCCGAGGTAGACGAAAATGAGGACATTCAGCACACAGTACTCACTGTCACCGCCAAGGATCACGACGAGTGTGAGTACACCTCTATATTAAAATAAATAACCACCTCTGAAATTCCATACATTTTTAACAATCCAATTAATACAGCCTCCGAATTTTTTCTTAATTTATGCCCGCGGAGGAAAGATGCCAGTTTTCGGACTAACATTAAATCGTTCAATTATTGATTGAATATGGGCAAATTATACGAAAATTTCAAATGGAACACATTTTCATACAAAGTAGCTACGTAAATATAACTGAATTTCTGTGTTACTCACATCATAAACTCATTGCCTAAGACTTAATGCCAGACTCTTGAAAGTAAATAAACATTATTATTAAAACTCCGTCATGCAAAAGAGTCTTAGATCCTTTCTACTCCAAGAACATGTTCTTCCGGTAACAAGTGGAAACTGAATTAATACCTCGTTGCCCGTGCAAGTAGCGGACCGTGGGCTTAAAGTGCTCAGAGGCCATTATTCTCCCTAAACTGGGAAAAACAGAGCTTTTGTAACGTAAATTGACATCTCCCCTAAATCTTGCCCCGGCAAAACGGGGTCTAATTTCCATCTCGGCACTAGGTGCCCCTAAATTCGCATCAATTGTACCCTGGAAATTGAATTGCAACAGGGTCCATTCACCTGGCGTCGGTTTTCCTGGCAACAAGGAGATGAAAAACTTGTTAAAAGTAAAAATAACGAAACGCAATCTGCCCTGCAACACCTGGCGGTGCTGTTAAAGATCGCCTCGTAAAATACCGCAGGCTGTTCCCCTGTAAAAAAAAATGAAGTCCTCCCCCGTTCGATATTACTCCGCCTCCGATAATGATTAGCGTTAAATTTGCAAATGATTTCCAATTTTTTTTTTCTTTTTCAGCCTCGCGTATTCGATACGAGATTACGAGCGGTAACCTAGGCGGTGCGTTTGCCGTAAAAAATATGACGGGGGCCATTTACGTCGCAGGGCCGCTGGATTACGAGACTAGGAAGAGGGTAATCTACGGCTTAGTCTTCCTCCTTTGAGCTATCGATTATCGATATCGACTGTTAATATCGCCTTCCTTCGGTTCCAGTACGAGCTGCGACTTACAGCCTCCGACAACTTGAAGGAAAATTACACGACGGTGGTGATCCACGTCAAGGATGTCAACGACAATCCCCCGGTCTTCGAACGTCCGACTTACAGGACTCAAATCACTGAGGAGGATGACAGAAACTTGCCGAAACGAATCCTACAGGTACTGAAGAATTTAACGCTTAAATGAATAATATATTCCTGGTGCAATCTAACAAGAAGCATTTGGTATAGTGCGAATAAAATGTTGGGTTCCTTTCCGTTAACGGATCCCAAGCTTACTTTGTTAGTCTTCGTCGTTATTGCTTAACTTCATTAACCAGAAAAGGCCTATTAAACGGCAAGTATAACATTAAAATCGAGTTTTTCCGGTATGAAAAATCGCAAAACTACTTGAAAACAAACGGATACTAAGAACAAATTTGTGGCGCGATAATAGAAAGGGGGATTCTCTGACAGTTACCTCAAGTGAAATGTTACTAGTGAAATTCAATTATTGAAAATTACCCTGTAGATTACGGAACTGCGAGTAAATTTCACTTATTATATCGAAACAATGATGACAATGTTAATTCGAATCTGCAGGTCGTTGCCTCCGATGGGGACAAGGATAGACCCCAGGACGTGGTCTACTTCTTGACAGGACAGGGAATTGACCCTGATAATCCTGCGAATAGCAAATTCGATATAAATCGAACTTCCGGAGAGATTTATGTCTTGAAGGTAACGAATTTATTTAGGTTTCTATTATATAGATGTTCTTTCGTTGAGTTCTTCGGGTTTATTGAGTAATCGTTTATTTGCAATCAGCCCTTGGATCGAGATCAGCCTAATGGAAGGGCTCAATGGAGGTTCACAGTGTTTGCTCAAGACGAAGGTGGAGACGGGCTTGTGGGCTATGCCGATGTACAAGTGAACTTGAAAGACATTAACGACAATGCTCCGATATTCCCTCAGGGTGTATATTTCGGCAACGTCACCGAAAACGGGACCGCAGGTGCGTTTTTAATTTGATCACACCGATAACGCTATATAAAGAACATTTCTTTTTTTTTTCAATTAAGGGGATGTGAAAGGGACATCTAAAGAGTCAATCGTTCATGAAACTTTTCTCCGAACTGGATATGCCGAATCGTTTTAAATTTTACAACGCGAATATGGAGGCTATAATGGAAGGTCCTGCCACTCATGAAATTTCATTTTTTATAAGAAAATGTAAAAATACTGATAAAGAAGTTACGTAAAAATTGAAATTTCCTAAGTTTCAGGACGCTTTCTTAGTGCCTCCGTATTTAAATTGTCAAGTCTGAAACGATTCGGTACACCCAGTTCAGAGAAAAGTTTCATAAACGAAACCTCTGTGCCGCCACTTTCACGTCAACTTAAGACTTTAGGTAACACTTGCGTATCAAAGCTTATTTTTGAAAAAAAAAAACTTCATTCGAGGTAAAGGAAGGAAAAGTGTAAAGGATTTTGAGTGGATTTCGTGTTAATTTCATCGCTCTACAGGAATGGTGGTCATGACGATGACCGCGGTGGATTATGACGATCCCAGCGAGAGCACGAACGCGAAGTTGGTTTATTCGATCGAGAAGAACGTGATCGAGGAGGACACCGGTTCCCCGATTTTCGAAATCGAATCCGAAACTGGGGTGATAAAAACGGCGGTTTGCTGTCTAGACAGAGAACGTACACCGGATTATTCGATACAAGTCGTCGCGATGGATGGCGGGGGGTTGAAAGGTACGTCTCTCTGGGGATGGGCCCGATATAAACGTTCGCTAAATTCGAGATTCTTTCAGGGACTGGGACAGCGTCGATACGAGTGAAAGACATAAACGACATGCCGCCCCAGTTCACAAAAGACGAATGGTTGACAGAAGTCGACGAGACCGACGATGGATCGAATCTGCCGGAAATGCCCATCCTCACTGTCACGGTCCACGATGAGGATGAGACCAATAAATTCCAGTACAAGGTATTCAATCTCGTTGATTTCCATCGCGACTTTTCCGTATCAATTGATTAATCAGCGGGTATTTACAAATATGTTGAAAAGAAAATTCTGTTTGAAAAGAGGTCTATCCTGTAATTAAAAAAAAAAAACGAAAAAAAACGTGTGGCTTATTTATTTCGCGAGATATCGCGGAAATCAAGATAGATGTACGATTTCATGAAAGAGGATTTTCAAATCTGTACTTTTTGTTTTTCCTAGGTTATAGAGAACAGTGGATACGGTGCTGACAAGTTCACCATGGTCCGAAACAACGATGGTACTGGGTCTCTAAAAATTGTTCAACGACTGGACTACGAGGACCAGCTACAGAGCAACGGGTTTCGCTTTAGGATACAAGTCAACGATAAGGTATTTCTAAAAAGAACAGGGAACTTCTTGCCAGAATATCCGTTATCCGTGAATTTTATAACATGTAATTATTCATAGTTCGACATAATATTTCAAGCTACTATCACGAAACACATTTTTTTCACATCGCACACTTTTACACGTGAACTCGTAGTTCAAGCGGTAAATTGTATTTATTATAAATTAGAAGTTACTATCGAGACGCTGCCAATATTGGCGTTTTGTGAGGAAATATATTTATCCTCGGATTAATATTTTACAGGGTGAAGATAACGACAACGACAAATATCACGTAGCCTATTCGTGGGTGGTAGTGAGACTTCGTGATATCAACGACAACAAACCTCAATTCGCCAGAGCCAATATTGAGGCAGTTGTCCAGGAAGATGCGAGGATCGGGATGAACCTCGAGACTTTTAATGCCACAGATCCGGACCAGGGTGGTAAAAGTAAAGTGTCCTATTCAATCGATCGCAGTTCCGACCGTAAAAGGCAGTTTTTCATCAACGAGAATGGTACCGTATCAATCCAGAGGAGTCTCGACCGAGAAGAAACGCCGAGACATCAGGTTTGTGTCGAGTCTTTGTTTCCATGTGTAACACAATTACCCTATGATAAGTCTGCTGATAAACAATTCTATAAGAAGCTTTAATATCCACATATTTAGACACGAATTTTTATAATCACGCATGTACGGTTTCAAGATCTCTTCAGAGCTGAACTAAAGATAAGGGTGATAACAAGGGTTCCTTTAATTTTAGGTCAAAATTCTGGCAATCGACGACGGTATACCACCGAAGACTGCGACTGCGACCCTCACTGTAATTGTGCAAGATATCAATGACAATCCACCTAGGTTTATCAAAGATTACAGACCGGTTCTTCAGGAATACGTTCAGCCACGAAGAGTAGTAGAAATTTTGGCCACGGATGATGACGATAGATCTAGAAGCAATGGCCCTCCGTTTACCTTCAGAATGGACCCAAATGCGGATGATGTTATCAAGGCTAGCTTCAAGGTCGAGAGTGACAGTAGTAAGTAATAATTTGATCTAATTTTATTAAAGGATCAACATATTTTCTAATGTAGCGGTCCCTCGAGATTTACTGCTTTTGTATTAAGAAAGAAGGAAAACTACTAAGGAACACTTTTTACTTCAGAGGGTGCCAATGGTGACGGAATGGCAATTGTGTCTTCTCTGAGGTCATTTGATAGAGAACAGCAGAAGGAATACCTTATCCCGATCGTGATAAAGGATGCCGGGACTACTCCTATGTCTGGAACCAGCACCTTGACAGTTGTCATAGGAGACGTTAACGATAATAAAATGCAACCTGGATCGAAAGATATATTTGTATATAATTACGCAGTAGGTGTCATGCCAAAAGCATGTTATTTTACAGACCATTCTGAGTGTTTAAGATCCTCGTTGCACTATTCATGCGTTTATATATTTTCTTTCTAATGAAAACATTAAATATAAAAATATTTCGTTTTCAGGGTCAATCACCGGATACAGAAATAGGGCGGGTTTACGTCTACGATCTGGATGACTGGGACTTGCCCGATAAAAAATTCTATTGGGAAGGTTTAGAACATACTCAATTTAAGCTACACGAGGACACAGGGATGATATCCATGAAATCTGGGACACATGATGGGAGATATCACCTGCGGTTTAAGGTCTACGATAGAAAGCATACTCAGACAGACGTAAGGGCTAATGTCACTGTCACTATCAAGAGTATACCTTACGAAGCAGTCCTCAATTCCGGGTCCGTCAGGATATCTGGAATCACGGATGAGGACTTTATTCGCGTTTGGGATTACAGAGTAAGTGTCGTTAGAAATCGTACAAGATACGATCAACCGATGCTAATTAGACAATTAATTCCGGGGATCTTTTGAATGTTTACAGACGCTGTCTATATCGAGAAGCAAAGCAGATTTGTTTAGAGACAAACTAGCCAAGCTGCTCAACATCGAAAGGGAAAATGTAGATGTATTTAGTGTACAGTTACGTAAAAAACATCCTCCTTTAACCGATATAAGATTTGCTGCTCATGGATCACCTTATTACAAACCAGTTAGACTCAATGGAATCGTGTTGATGCATCGAGAAGACGTGAGTTCTTTGATTATCAACCTTACCATTTTATATTACTTCGGAATCTCTAAGTAACTCTAATATCTATTTTTTTGCGGTTATATTGAACAATGCAAAACTAGCAAGAAATCAATAAAGCATTATTTTTATTATTCCGTTAGAGATGATTTAACGTCTGATTTGATTGTATTGTTCCCTTAATTGGACATTTTAAATTAATGAGTAATGCGATTATTACATTATTTGAACAGATTGAAAAGGATGTTGGCATTAATATCACTATGGTTGGAATTGACGAGTGCTTATACGAAAACGAGATCTGCGAAGGCAGTTGCACCAACACTTTGGACATCAGTAGTCTTCCTTACATGGTTAATGCTAATAAAACTGCTCTGGTAGGAGTCAGAGTAGACGTAATAGCGGAATGTACCTGCGGAGCAAGGAACTTCACGAAAAGTGAATCTTGCAGAAGTAGTCCTTGTTATAATGGGGGAAGATGCATCGAAGGGCGGTTTGGATTATCGTAAGTTTACTAAAAAAAATAGTACCAGATTATATATAATTAATTGTGCTATTCAGAATCTGGGAGGATTTCTCACATTTTTTTATTAGAATTTACAAATGTTGCTAATGGTAAATTTCCATGTTTAGATGCCAATGTCCAGCTGGATATAACGGTCCGAGGTGTCAACAGACAACAAGAGGTTTTAGAGGAAATGGTTGGGCTTGGTATCCGGCACTAGAAATGTGCGATGAAAGCCACTTAAGCTTCGAATTTATCACTAGAAAAGCCGATGGATTATTGCTGTATAACGGTCCCATCGTGCCCCCTGAACCTGACGAGATTATGGTTTCTGGTGGGTTTCCCTCAATGGTCGTTTCCACATATTCCATTGAATTTCCCTGCTCTATTTGTACGATTTTAATACCATTTCGTTTTATCACTTTTATTTAGATTTCATAGTGATTGAGCTGGATCATGGACGTCCCAGATTGTTGATAGACTTTGGTTCGGGAACTTTGGAACTTAGAGTGCCAACTAATAACACATTAGACGACGGCCAATGGCACAGGCTCGACATCTTTTGGAACACCGAGGTCCGTTGACTTTCCAGAATTTCATAGTTTTTACAAATATAATCCCATTGATTCGTAATAACAAAATATTCTATGGAATGATTTCGGATAATAGCTCGAATAGCAAGTAGCAATTTTCAGAGATGAGTTTACAAAATGTATCTTTTTGACGGAAATCATTTTGCCAACTTCGTTTCGCTGTATGTCGTGCACTAATGCACCGGCAATTTTGTTACGAGGGTGGCTCGGGATATTGCGAAAGTTGATGGAGTTAGAATTGGATTGACGTTTCATATCCATTTTTTGCAAACGATGAAATCTCGTCGTTGAGAGGTAAAACCGCAAAAAACGTTAATAGTCCATATCGTCAGGCTTGATTTACAAACAAATGATCCCACTCTTGTATTTACCGTGCAATTTGAAAAATCTAAAAAATCTATCCATCTTTCCGGTAAATTAAACACCTCGATGCAACGGTATCGGTGTTTCTTTTTTTTTCAATTTCCCTGCGTTTAACGAATCCATTTCATTTATACTTCTCTACAGACGGTGAAGCTGATCGTCGACTTCTGCAAAGCGGCGAACGTTACCGAGTCCGAGGACGGATCTCCCCCGAAATTCAACGACACCATTTGCCTGGCCCAGGGCACAATTCCGCCATTTAACGAGTACCTGAACGTGAACGCACCTCTGCAGATCGGAGGTCTCTACGCCGAGCAATTCGACCCTGACCACTACAAGTGGAAGTACATGCCGATCGGCAAGGGATTCGAAGGCTGCATCAAGAACCTCTTCCACAACAGCAAACTGTACGATCTGGCCCATCCAGGTCTCTCCAGAAACAGTGTGGCGGGTTGTCCACAGACAGAGGAGATTTGCAACAATCAAGAGTCCACATTTAGGTGCTGGGAACATGGAACCTGCGTTGGCAGTTTCACCGAGGCCAGATGTCAGTGTAATCCTGGCTGGACAGGACCTGGATGTATGACGCAAACGGTACCGACTACCTTCAAGGTCCAAAGCTACATCAAGTATGCACTTTCCTTCGAACCTGATGCGTACACCACCCAGATTCAACTTAGGTTCAGGACCAGAGAAGCACGCGGTGAACTCTTCAGGGTCAGCGACCAGCACAATAGGGAGTACGCGGTTCTGGAGGTATGGATTCCTTGAATTTTTATGAAAATTTCTGGTATTAGATTAAACGAGCTGGGTACAATACATACACGATGCGGCGAAAGTTCTTGCACTTTTATATATATTTTTGATACAGAATACAATTGCCTCATAGATGAACAAACCAACGTCGCTAACCAGTTGGCAACATTTATTAGATTAATAGAAACAACGTCCAAAAGATAAAATTATAACAAATGCTCAAAATTTCTTACTTTAGACTCCACGCATGAAACTTTTACCGCACGCTTATAATTCATGATTTAAATATATGTCATAATGAAAAAAGAGTGTTATCTGGTTTAACTGCTGAATATCTCACGTAAGACTGATCGAATATCTTCTCCAATCTGGAGCATTTGGCAAAATAATTTGAGTGCCTAATTAGTCTATTTGTTGCGCTTACAGATCAAGGAAAGCAGGTTGCACTTCAGGTACAACCTGAACAGCTTGAGGACCGAGGAACGTGACATTTGGTTGACAGCGATAGCTATTGACGACGGTCAATGGCACACTGTGAGAGTTTCGAGGTACGGATCGTCCGCGACTCTGGAACTCGATGGTGGTGAAGGCAGAAGGTTCAACGAGACCTTCTCCTTTGAAGGCCACCAATGTTTAAAGGTGGACAAAGGTGAAGGTGTCTACGCGGGTGGGAAGGCAGAGTACACCGGAGTTCGCACCTACGAGGTTGATACGGACTATCATCAAGGTAAACCATCATAGATGAGAAGACTCCATGTTGAAGCGATTCAATAATTTTCGAGTGTTTCTGAAATCAGTGCAGAGAACTGTTGAAATTTCGATACAGACGTATTTGAACCAGACAAAATCATTTGTTAATTAAAAAAATAGTTTTCTAAAATAACTATATCATAAAAGGAATTACTGAAAAACGTTGCATGGCCCGCAATGTCAGATTATTCTTATTGGATTTTGTTTAAGAAGCAATTTTGTATCTTAGGTTGCCTTGATGACATAAGGTTGGAAGGAAAACATCTTCCTCTTCCACCTGCCATGAATGGCACTCAATGGGGACAGGCCACCATGGCGAGAAACCTTGAAAGAAATTGTCCATCAAACAAGCCGTGCGCCAATGTTATCTGTTCTGATCCCTTCGAGTGCATCGATCTCTGGAATATGTATGACTGCACGTAAGTTTTTCTATTTTCAAACAATTATTATATAACTTTAAGTCGTGGGACTATTGGTATGGTTGAAATGGTTAGAAAGAATTATAGCCAAGTGTGCTACGATTTTAACAGGTGTGGAGAAGGAAGGATACCTTCACCTGATAATAAGGGTTGCATGGATAAGAACGAATGTATCGACTATCCTTGCCTGAATGGAGGAAGATGCATAAATCAAGATCCCAGATTCCGGTACAGGTGTATTTGCCCTGACGGATTCTGGGGAGAAAACTGCGAATTGGTGCAAGAGGGACAAACCTTGAAACTCAGCATGGGAGCCCTGGCTGCCATTTTGGTTTGCCTCTTGATTATTCTTGGTAAGATTTCCTAAACATCAACATTTTTCCCTTTAAATCGAAAGACAGATACAGAATATGAACAATTTTTTTGAAGGAGGTAATTGGTTGCGTTGAAACTGTTATGACCAAAAATATATGAAAGCTGCAGTTTAATCTTTCTGTAATTATCTGCTGAAATGTAATGTCGTTCACTTCGTTTCTAGTACTTGTTCTGGTATTCGTGGTGTACAACAGAAGGAGGGAATCTCATATTAAGTACCCTGGCCCTGACGACGACGTGAGAGAGAATATCATAAATTATGATGACGAAGGTGGCGGGGAAGACGATATGACAGCTTTCGACATCACACCTCTTCAAATTCCTATCGGTGGACCTATTCCGGAATTAGGGGGGAAATTGCCACCGTGCAAAATAGCTTGTACGTATTTGACGTTAACACTACTTTTTATTATTATACATACTGGAGTAATCGTAGAAAAATAATACTATCGAAGGAAATAACGTTATCGACACGTCGGGAATTCTATAAACAATTATTTTTCAGATCCACTGGGTCCGGAGCCGAATATGGGTATTTTCATTGAAGACCACAAAAAAAGGGCGGACAGTGATCCAAATGCACCACCTTTTGATGATCTTCGAAACTATGCGTACGAGGGTGGCGGAAGTACCGCGGGTTCGCTGTCTTCCCTGGCTTCCGGTAAGATAGCGACAAGTTCACGTATTTTTATTTAACAAGGGAACAATTTCCATAGTATTATAATATTCGCCATTAACATCGTTGAAATGTTATTAAGACACTTTCATTTACATAAGAATTACCATATTACTGCACGCAGAAAAATATTTGATTAAATCCATCAAATTTTTCGTAGCGGACAATCCAATTTTTAGTTGACATGACCAAATTCTTTGGTTAACTCTTGGTTACATCAAATATTGTGGTAGATCACGCTAAACATTAGACTAACATTATACATTTAATAAATAAATTTTGGATGAAAAATGAAATTTAATGAGTTTCAGGAGCCACTTTAGAGCCTCCATATCCACGTAGTAAAATTTGAAACGAATTGGTACACCCAATTCGGGGAATACTTTCACTGACGATTTGATTCCTCAGTTATACATTGTTACTCTTTCATGTGCTCTTAACGACCTGTTGAAATCAGAAGATATAAACAGGGTGTTAAAAACAGTGGTGAAATTACAGGGACGGACGACGAGCAACACGAGTACGAGTACCTAGGAGCCTGGGGTCCCAGATTCGACAAATTAGCCGACATGTACGGTCCCACCGAGGAGAGCGAGGAGGAGGATTAAAGTTCTAAGGAACGCAATGCAGACCGACGAAGAAGCCAGGACCTCGAAGATGATCCTGCGTGGTCCTCGAATCTACGTGGCCGCAGGATATTTGTGTCCATGGAAAGAAATCGAGCCTACTCGACTACTCGAGATACGCGTAAACGTGCGAGCAACGACAGAAACGGGGGTCAAACGCGGGTTCCGGGATTCGATGACTCCACCCGCGCCTTTCCTCCCCCGAACGGGGGAACCCTCTCCACGTAAACTTGTCAAAGACTTTCGAGAACCGCACCTTCACCTACGCATCCGCCATGTTTGCACTCCGAGTGAAGAATTACGGACCTCCAAATAATTGAGTTAACGAGCGTTACCTAGGACGAGGGTCGAATGGTCTCAAGTTTGGTGCACCGATGGCCCGCCCTGTGGCCAGGGGAGGAGAAAAGAAAGAAAAGTGCGAACTATGCAATAATTTTAAACAAGTCATACCGTAATATACGTTAAAGGGAAGAATTAAGCCAGAGATCCAGAAAACGCATACCTATTTGTATAGTACGTTACGCGTATACGTAGTCATCCCTCACACATGTGTACGTGGCATGAAAGTTTTTCTATGGATCGGTTTATTTATTTATTCGCCGCCCGGGGGGGCCAAAGCCTCGCCGGCCGAATTAACGTTAGAGACATTATTGATAATTAATTATTAACGATTACCGATATTATTGTATAAGTAGAACCGCCACACACCGTCATCGTCACCCCCGTCGATACGGTCGTCGTTTGCGTTGCCGTTGAGGAGGTCGCGAATCCGCTTCTCTCAACTCTTACCTCGTGCGCCGCTCCTCTCCTCGATATGCAGATATGAGATAGAAATACGCGTATTTTTATACGCTGACATAGTATATCCAGTTGACTGTTAACGCACGTTATCTACCGGTTTAAAGTAAGTTTTAAAATTAGCGATATCGCGGCGGACGAGGTACGATCGGGAACCCCCTTAGAGCGCTCGCGCTGCAGGGGTTTGCCGTACCGGCAGTTTACGAAATCGCAGTTTCCCACTTTGTTCGATTATCGATGAACGGAAATTCCATGAATTTACTCATCTGCTACGCTAGATTGGGCAGGCAAGAAATCATCGATATTAAAATAAATCTGTTATAATTTAAACGCATCCTACATCCGAACGATCGTGACGCCACGTTATAAGTGCAAGCAGGAGTATAAATAAAAAGAGCCTCCAAAGTGTTAATCGAGTATCGAGGTCTTTGTATTCATGCGGCATATTTCATCTTTTCTTTTTCAAATCGATTCAAGTTCCAATTAACTAAAATTTCAGTTGATTCCTTACGTGGATCATCGAGTGCTGTGGGAAACAGCAGTTTGTCGGTGTCGGTCGATGAAACGATACTTTGACATCGGCTTAAGGGATTAATTCTCTCGCGATGCAGCGATTCGACGAGCCGTAGACGTGCCATACTAGAAGGTAAAAACGAAAAAAGAATCTTAAACGATATTCCTGTTCTCATCGTCATCCGTCATCCTCGTCGCTGTCACGATCGCCGTCGATATTAATTAATACGATTANATATAGATATGAATTTATAGAGGGCGCATGGATGGCGAGTCACAGTGTATTTAAGAAAGTCTGAAAGAGTCCTGTTAGCGCGTGCGTATAGGGATGTAATTTATTGATAACGTAGCATTTAACGGTACGAACCACGATGTTAATTATAACTCGCCGTTATATTTCTCTATATCGTTTTAATACTTGATTTATTGACGAGCAACCTCGAGAAGAGCGCGAGAGAGCTGGGAGCAAGACGAAATACGCGGATTTGGGGAAAATATGCGCAGGGGGCGATGCCGATCGAAATCTGGCGATTTTGTCATCGGACTTGTCAAATTTAATCCCCTCCTGTTATCAGGGAAAATGGTGACAAAATCGCGGATTCGATGCACCTAGTCAATCACGCTTAAAACTGTTCAGAGGAATCGGATGGAAAATAAACAAAACCGTTGATAAAATAATACAATTCCACGGGTTAGTATGCATTCAGGCACAGTTATTTGATAATTCTTAATAAATTGTTCGCAAATCGAATTACTGTTTAACAGTAATGCAATTGGGAAAAAATATAATTTTTACATGTTTTACGTAAAGACAAGACAGATTACGTAGTATGTGAATTTTTAATGGGTTTGTTTATCTTTTCCCTGTTGTTGCATAATTTTAAGCGATCCCCGCAAGTGTTTTTCGCAAATCGGCTAACATGTAAGATTCGCAAACCGGACACTTAAATAGTCAATTCATGCGATCGGCTGTGTTAATTCGAGGCCGATATAAGTCGCGTTTAGGGTACATCGATCGTTACACGCACCGCTGCGTACTTGTCCCATGTCGAGACATACTTTACCGCGTATCGTTTACGATTTGTGATATTAATTTGCGTAAGCCCTAATTCTCTTATACCTAATTCTAATTCTTCGTAATATTGCCGAATAATTCCTCCCTTTCTTGACGAACCTCCTCCTATTCCTCTTCCAGCCTTGCCCCTGACAGAAGTATTCGATAAAAAATGACAAATCATCTCCATATAAAGTTAATATAAAAGAATAACAAACGGGCAGAATTGATTGTAATATATAGTAATTATGATACTCACATACCTGTACCGTTTTCGTTTCAAGCTGAGTAGAGTTCCCTTAAAAAATCGTAAATTTGCATAAAATAGTACACTTTTAAATTACTTTTTAAATAACGCTGCTTATTATTGGCATATCCTTGTGGTGAATTTGAAGTACTAGGTAGAGACTAAATATGAAGTACAGTTATTACTTAGCTACTAAAGCTTTTTGGCAATACGTGAACTATAATCCCTCCCGAGTGAATAACTACTTTACTATCAATTATATTAACAAACGTCACAAATCACTTGCTTTTAAGGGAAATCCAAAATTCACGAATCTGATTTTTCTATCATTCGTTCCTCATAGGATATCATTTTCTTCAACTTTTTAGGCGATGCCTTATCAACTAAGTTTCGCTTAAGAAATTGAAACGAAGTTTGATATCTTTCAAAGAGATGTAAAAAAAGTCTGCATTCGTGAATGATGCCTCCCTTAAAATCATATATTTTGAATCTAAGAATTTTTCTGACGTAACGTGTAATGGAGACGTTAGTCAAGGTAGAGTTTCTTAGTTTACCTCTTACTGTGAGCATTTTTCATTAAATATTTTTCTCGGGGTTTCCTGTGTCATCCGACGCCTCCTTATCCTCAAACTCCCCCAGATAGTAGAAATTAAGCAGCGACAGTATTCCAGAGACTGGCATTAAGGGGTGTCACCTTATCGTTGAGGGAAACAAATACATTTGTGTTAAGTCGCGCCGTTCTGCGCCTGTGTACAGTGGCACGAATATAGTCAGGATTTTAAAAACGTCGCCATCAATTTCGCGACCAAGTCTTACGAACAAAAATAGTTTATATCACGAACAGGCTGCTCGAGCAAAAAGCACCCTCGATCTCGCCTGTACTTACTTGTATATGTATATTACATTGCGTGTATATATGCCTGTGTGTCTGTCTCACTCTTTTGAGTCAAGCGTCGAGTCCGAATTTGACTTTGCGAAACGGAGACACCAAAAGTCGCGAATCTCCTGAGGATTTATCCCGCGATAAGAGAGATTCCCTGCTCAGGGTAGGTTTTTAAATGTTTCGGTCTTGCAAGATCCAGGGACCGCGTATCCTTTCTCGATCTCGTTCTGCCGATTTCTTCTATCCCCGGTAATTTTTGGAACTCGATTTTCGCCCCCTTGCACAATGGAAGGATAAACGTCATATGATAAAGAAAACATTTTTATAATTAAACGCGACAGTGATACGTAGCATGCTAAAATATATCAAGTACTGATTGCACCGTCATTTTTTATTACTTATGTTAATAGTAAAATATTTATTTAGGACGTTGGATTCATTACTTAGTATTGTTTGCAGGTGTCCGATGTAAATTGACAATTTTAGAGGAATCACCACTGTGCAATGGGTTTTTGAATGTTTTGATGAAGAGTCATACCTTTTGGTATCATACTGGATCTAGAATTGATATGACTGAGGAGGTATAATTCATATTTTCAGTCCACAGTTGCTTAATAAATGATGACTTTAACAATCGATTAAGTTGAGTCTTGTACAAAATTTCAATTAATCGTTTTGGAAAATATCGAATAACAGTGTGAATTAAATGATATCAAGTTCAGTTAGATGTAGATCGATTGATCGAACTCCAAATGACATAATTACAATTCATACAATACGGGGGATTTTAAGAATTCTTTTCTAAATCTCTTTATTTAATTTTATTTGGATAAAAAAAATCGGTTAGGTTTATTTATCACGCGTTACATAATATTGTGTATATAACAACATCTCAAGCCAAACTTTATTATTATAACTGGTTTATGCCAGAACATACAATCGACGAATTTTCCCAAATTTCATTCGCATTTCAAGAAATTCGTCCAAGTGTCAGAACAATTCTTCCGAGCTTCCCAATCTTCTTGATGTGTGATAATATTATTACTAATAATTCAATTTTCATCCGTAATAATAGAGGAAATTATTAAATTCTAAACTGAACTGAAAAATGACAACGAGTGAAGTACTGACGTCGGATATAGTAGAAATTACGTCTAACTATAAGTCGAAAGTACATACAGAAATAATCGCAAAAGCGGCCTAAGGTCTGCTAAGGAAGTTCGATCGGATAAGGTTCGATTCGACGAAAAAAAAATAAAATAAAATGTCTTCAAGGATCTCTTTTCAGAAAAAAGAAAAGGTTAATTACAAGGTGTAAAGGGCACGAGGAAATATCCTCCGCAATTACTGCACGAAGTCTGACACAAATTTTTTTATAAGAATGCTACTGGTTTGATGTTAAAAATAATTTATACCAAATAATTTCATAAACCCAGAATAATTCTGTAGACGCATATCAACGGAAATTAAGATGATTATTGTCTGAGGAAGTATATATGAAATGCTTCTTGTATAAAGGAATGCTCCATTTTTACGATTTTTTATTGTCTTAATATGCTGAAAACGTCATTTTCCAAAATATTAGGTTATCGGTTCGTGCACGAGTTACCATTTAATGCCGACGAATATACTCATTCCACATATCCGTAACGTTTCTAACACCTACACTGCCTAATGACACGCGATCATCGAAGGTGCTTATTATCGAGTTTAAGCAATTACAACGTCGTAGAATGTAAAAAGTTCACCAACCACAACCAAATCCGACTTTATCCAAAAGTCGCGTCTCACCTCGAACTACTGTAATTTGTACTGCCACTGAACACATCTCATTAGTACAATTTACCGTATGATAATCTATCGTATAATCGACATGTGTATTATTACTTAATTGATATTATTAACGATTACTTGTATTGTATTATTACCGCTATTATCTATACGGTTTGTACGTTTAAAATTTCAGTTCGGATGAAATAAATGCCTTCTTTTTAATAAAAGGGATTGAAAGTACATAAGTAAGGGACAATGTTGCTTTGTTTCGAGTCGACGTATCATTTTTTCTGTTAAGCATGTGCAGAAACACAATTTTGTTTGTATTTGAAATAAGGCATGCATCACAAATATTTAGTATATTTCGTACAAAATGGGTGTGTGCAGAGTATAAACTGTAGAAATAGATGAATACAAATAGTACAGTCGATCAGAGTAGTTAAGAAAAACGCTTAAGTGACCCTGAAGGATCGCTTATCACGTGTTTATTGATACATTGTGCACGCGGCGATCGGATGATAAATTAGTTCGACGGTTATCGTGTGAATTATTACGGTCAATTATAAAAGAATGTGGAAATCGTGCGAGATGCGCGATTTCTAATAAAAAGTCGAAGATCTCGCGTTTACAAGAACAATTTCAGTTCTTCCTTCAGATTTTCAATTTTCGAAGGTGACATTTCGAGGCTTGCAACGATCCGTCTTGCGGGTTCTGCATCGACACTTTTTAGAGCGGCTTCTTCCGGGTAATTCGCTCATTATCCTTTGCCAAAGTTTGGTCCTTGCATAACGAACGAATACTTCGGCGCCACAATCCCTGTATGGAACATTTTCGTTAACATTTAGCATAAACATTGCTATACTCGCACATTGGAACATTACCACACCCATAAGTATATAAGTGAGAATGCAATCATTACATCCTAATCTCATTTCATGTCAGTGAATGAAGATCTGTAATTAAGTCTTGAAATCTCTTTATACAGAAAAAAAATCTTGTTGCTTCAGAATTAAGAAAAAATACTGATTATCGTTCTGAATCATATTTTCGCTTTACGGTCTGTGGATCCTTATAGTCTAGGATGATTAGTAAATTTTACTGACGTTAATACGGAAAAATCCAGGGACCTTGTGACGTAGAGGACAAGAAGAAAAAATGAGACGGATATGACGTAACTCAGCAATATAATAGGACTTCTGTCTGATTGGATCCACTCAGCTGTATCTTTCATCTCCAAACTATCCAATGCCTGGACAAAATAGAAGATGTCTTTAAATTGGCTCTTCTACTAATATAGTAATCACTCTTCAAACATTCTAATGGTCATGTAATGACTCTATTTATTAATCACTGATTTTATGCCATTTACTGTCTCATCTTTGAAAATTGAAAATTGTTCTCAGGACGCTTATTGCGGCTTTTTCAACCCATTTACGAGCTAATCTGCTACTGCTGAATGGAATCGATTTCGACCTTAGAAAAATTAATGTAGCATTGCGATCGTTACATTACATGGCAAAGGTGCTTGGGCAACGTCGTGAGCAAAAGGACGTCGATAGGAACCCAAATGCAAGCCATTGCGAACTCCAAAATGAATGCAGTCGCCAGAAACTGCAATAGAAATCAATTTTCATTACCTTTATTTATTCCTCGTTGCCTCCCATTTTTATCTATCCATTTATATTAAATATTTGTTATAAGTAAATGGAAGCCGAAGCCCTCTAATAAATCTAACAAAATATCCTATCCTTACTCATGATTATAATATATGAACAGCTGTAGGTATCGTGAATGCAAAATATTTCCCTTTTCATTTATATCATTTCCTTTACAAAAGTATTTCAATTGTTATAGAATGAAGAGGATTTTATTAATTTATATTTGATTTAAATTTTAGATTGATAAGTTAATTATGGGGAAATACAATACGTGTTCAATGGTGATTAACCTCATAGAAGCACAGCAACGCTGCAGGTGGCTTTCGAAAAGAGGGCGGGAAAATGGTCGACCGGGCTACTAGAACGTAAACTCCGGACGCAAATAAAAAAGCCGTTTCAGGGGGTCCTGTGAGCAATGATTTTCCGTACTCGTCCTCGGTAGCATCGGCGAAACAAGTCTGGAAAATCGACACGCCAAAGCTGTGCAGCATCAGTGCCCAGATCGTGCAGAGGATCTTCGCCATCTTGGAGGACGATGCGCATTTATATATTCCCCTACAACGGGAATTATACAAGGTGCCCTGACAATATTGGATACCAGCTTCAAAAACATACACAGATAAGTCCTGGATAAACATTGACTTGTCACAGACCAAAATGGATACATGATTTTGTAACACACGTTTCATTTCGCGAAACTTATTAACCCTCGCATATATTTACGAAAACAGGAAAAAAAAGTAATTATGCCTATCTACAGCGATAGGAAACGACAGGGGATTTTAAGAAATGTATAAGAAACGAATTTAGTATTCAACACTCATCCAGTGAAATTCTCTAATTTAATGAAAAATCGCCATGCCGAATCCACTCGCATGCGACGTACACTTTATTACACGCGTCACTTTACAATATACATGAGTCATTACAAGTAATTTAGCGCTCTTTTCGCGCTCTTCGATCCTCCTTTCTCTTTCCACGAGATATTGGAAAAAAGGATCTCGGAAATAAGAGCAACCGACTTAGACTTAACGACGATCCGCACTCGCTAGCAGATCCTCCGGATGGTGGAAGAGCGACTCGGAAAAGAACCAGTCGATCACCACGGGATTTTCGAAGGAGGTCCTTTTGCCGTGGAGCATTTGGCCTTCGGAGCATTTCGAGTTCCAGCTCCTGAACAGAGAATAACGAAGAGATGTCTGGAGTCAGAGAGGACTTCCGGGGAAGGTCCAACGGAGCGTAGGGATCGCTCGCGAGATCCAATTTTGTTTGACTAGTTACTACTTGCTCCAAAGATCTAGGATCGCGTCCAGAGATTCCGTCGCGTCCAGCATCCAGACAAACGACAGGACCGACAGACAAAAGGCCACGTGCATGGCCGCGGTGTCCATGGCCATGTACAGCGCCAAAATGTTTAACATCGAGTCGTTCTCCGATCCCAAACCCTGATTCAACCATACCAACTGAAAAAAAGCCGGAAATCATTTTTTCTTTCTGAATTTTTTCTACTGGAGTTTGTGGAAACGATTAAGAAAATGTCCCACGATTAAAAATAACGGCGAAGCTGGACGTCGGTTTGTCTTTTATGTATTGCCCAAGTGTCTTCAGATTTTAGAAATGGTTGGTATTGAAATTTAGCTGATTTATGAAGGATCGGTCTTACCCATCTGCTGGATTCCTGAGTGAGACAATAAATCGCGTGCATGAGCGGTATCCATACTGCTCGCGTTGCTAGATTTGTGACCAAAGCTGCTACCAACATCTGTAATATGAATACATGTATCGATATCTTTTTCATCAGATACATTTAAAAATTGGCTTGAAAATGTTTTATGCACTCCACGTTATAGACTCATTAATTGACTTTAAAATTCATTTCATGATCTTAATAAGTAAAAGCAACATGTTAAGCGTTAGTTGGGACAATTCGTTTCAATTAAATTCAGTGAAATCTAGTTTACCTCGTAAATGATAAGCAATTGTGGTGGTGGCTCTTTCAGGGATCTCGGCCAAAGTTTGTATTCGGCGAGGAGACAAAGTACGGAAAAGATGAAAAGTATCGAAGCATATGAGGGATCGAAGGGCATCGATTCTTCGTCGAAGCATAATCCAATTATGCAAATTTGTCTTAGGTGAAAGTACATCCCCGATAGTACCACGACTAGCCAGTGAAAATTTACACATTCGAAGTACTCTTTCACGGCTTCCATCGTTCGCCCCTGAGGCCCAACATTAACAGGGGATCCAACAAGTTGTCCTGTTAAAATGACATTTATTTTACTCCAAACAAAAAAAAGAATCAATTGATATTACTTTCCAATTTTAAATCAATCGACAACTTTTTTTTAATATTACTATGGATATAATTTCTGCCTGGAGATATTTTAAATAACACTAAATAAGTCTTGTTTCTTCCTCTCGTGAACCTCAAAGCTTGTCCTTTTTTCGTCATTTTCGAGGTATACCAAAATTGTGCGAACTCAGAAATAAAATTTCAACCCCCAACGCGATTTTCGTGAAGTTCAAGTTCTGCCGAGAGAATTTCATTTAAGGAAAAACTGACAAATGGAAGTTTGATTGACTTGACAATTCTTTGAAATCTCATGGACACTGACATACCGGCGAACAGTCGCTGAGCAACCTTTAATTAACGATGTCATGTAATGCCATCCTTAGCCTGTCTTGAATGTCACCAATTACGAAGCACTGCTTTCTTCGGGATTAAAAAAGAATATAAATGATACAAAACAAGTACTGACTGTTAATTTATCATCGATGATTTTCTTCCGCTTATATTTAATGAAATACTAGGTTACTTCTGTCACGCAGTCGCTGCGCGATGCAACGCCTGCCAAGACTTTCGGTTATTTAAATTCCATTTCCATTTTTTCATTTGAGAAGAAAGTAATGTCCATTTTCACGGGCATTATTTAAAATAAGTGTAAAATTAAGATTCTTACTAATTATCTATACGGTTTTAATTCGTAAAACATAATAAGCTTGCCGTTTAAAAAATCCTGACTGTATCATCCTAATATCTTTAATCGTTACTATTTAAAAAAACTAGTAGGAGCGTAATAGCGATGTAAACTAAAATTTTCGATCGCCTTAATGGAAAGTTATCAGGATGATCAGGATGATTTAGTTCGAATAATTGGCTTCCTTCAATAGTTGTTGTGTACAAAGTATCCATTGGTCCAGCGTACATTGCAAATACTACGCGGTCAAACTTATGGGGTAATGGAGTTTCGTTGTCAGGGTCTGCTCCTTCGTTTCCTTTACCCCTTTTATAACCGTCCACGTATTCAACTCCGAGATCGAGTCAATTCTTCCTCTAATTTTATTTTCCACCATGCTTCTCCAAAGTGACTTTTTGATTTATGACATTAAGACGCATTCTAAGTGTAATCAACTTTCAACGTTGACGCTATTAATCAGAAATTATTTTGCCTTCCGTATTAATTATCATACCGTAGATATTTATTCACCTCTTTTTAAGTGACGTTAGGCGCTTCTCGGCGTAAAGTAAATTACCTGTACTTTTAATGTAATTCGATGTCTATTCTTAAATATGAAATAATCGGTCCATGTATCCAATCCACGATCCAATAATCAATTGAAAATCACATTCGACACACTTTATTTCAGCAATAGATTCCACCGATGTGCGACTTCCGTTAGAGGATAACAAATGGGGGATTTATGGTAGATCCCTTAGTCCTAGGGGTAGTTTCAAGGGAATGCTTTTCAACGCTAAAACAGCGTATGTGTTCTCTGTATCTCAGTCTCATACATAATACATTACATTTGTGGATGAGCTTTTAGAGAGATAGGAGGAAAAGAATGAAACCGTATAATGCGCTTTAGGGTCGCCCTTCTTGTTTAATGCAAGGAATATTGCCCCACGATTTAGTATATGTAATACAACTTCTGCCAAAGGCTGATCTCGACCAAAAGTTCATTCTAGAACTTTTCTCATTCATATTTATATCCTTACGCTAACCTCACAATTATTTCACGTCAAGAGTGTTTTAATAATTTTTCATTATAAATATTAACATAGCTCAGAAAGGTACCTTTTAATTTTTAAGAAGTAATGGGGTGGTCACAATCGAAAAATTACATTGTCTAATATCCAGTATCTAATCAGCCCTTATCAACGATTGTTTCCATTTTTTAATAACGTTACCCTAACAGTACCATTTTTTACTTGCTTTTTTCATGTGAACAGGGTGCTAATAATTTTTAATTATAAAAGTTAATAAAGCTCAGAAAATATTTTTATTTTAAAAGGACTACCAATCAGAAGTCAATCGGAAGTGTACTGATGAGATGACGTCCCTGAAATGCAACGTTTAATCATCCCTTATCAACGATTAGACATTGTGGTTCGTACAATGGGACTTCTGAGATTCCTGTGAAAGGAAGGTATGCTCAATCGATCTAGACACAGGAGAGCCAGCCAACCATAAAACACCAGGAAATTGTTTCAAGGGATGACCCACTTCTCCTTTACTTTCCACCCCCGTAGAAGCTCGACGTGATTCCATGACAGCCGCCATTTCCCAACTGCGCTTTGATCTCACGTAAAATGGGGAAAAGGAAATCGCGCTCTTCACACAATTTTTATTTTCACTGGCAGTCACCAAAATTAACTACACTTGTTTGAAGAAGAGCCGCTTAAAAAAATAAAAGCCCTATCTTCCCCTTTTCTTGGCTTCCAACGTTCACAGAAACTCAACCGCTATTTCACTGAAAAAAAGAACAGATTAGTTAACTGAAACAAATATATATCGTTGACATATATATTGTTGATTTAAACGAATTTTCTTAACTCTTCCTGACATTTCTATGGGCATATTTGATCGCAGGATTTTGTTGCGGCAATGCATGTTTCTTTGAGTGAACCAATTTTTTTTCTCTCAGTCTATTTCGTACAAACCTAATCTCAAAGTATAATAATTTTGGAAATAAACGCGATATAAGCAATAAATAGAGAAAACAAAAGATACGGGGGATTAATTAAAAGCCAAATTAATTTTCTGGAGAAACTTTCTTTGTACTCCTTTAACAGTTCGGTCGATATTGGAGGCGCTTTGATCGCGAAGAAGTTTCGCCGCCATCTTAGCGCCCTCGGAGTTCTAATGCTCTGCGAGCGTCGTTTGTGCAGGGGATATAGGAAAATCTTTCGAGAAAAGTAAAACGAAGCCACCTTGCCACGTAAGGTGGAGGCCAATGTTTCGAAAGATGCCGATGGAAAAGTACTGCCGATTATCCCAGCCATCGTAGTCATGGAGACGGCACAGAGTGCGGAGAAAAAAGACGGAATCCCTCCATCTTTGTCGGAGCGAAGGGGGGAAAGTAAAGGAAAAGCGAGGTAGCTCTGGAGAGAACTGTCGGAAATAAAATGAAAAGTGCACCTTTCTTTCTCCGACGACTTGCCTTTGTCTCGCCTACCCTGCGCACCGTATATCGGTCTCTTTCCGTCCAGGTAGTGATGGAATTGTCCAAAGTGAATATACGATATCGATAGATATTAATATCACCATAGAAATTGATAACTTAAGCAATTTATTGTAAAGTGAGGGCGTTAAGAAGTTACAACAGGACATTCGTTTTCAACGAGGCAAAGCTTACAAAATATTATGATACGTATATATATGCGTGTAAATAAATTAAAGCATCAATGGTGTAACATTCATTATGTCAGGGAAAAAATTCTAATTGGAGTAACCAACCATGTGAGAATATTAATTATTTTCTATCATATTTTCTAATGTGCCTCGCTGAAGTTTAAATTCATTAAGATGCAATGTTTGTCACACGATCGGTATGTTAAAAAATGTTTACCAAAAAATGATTTTATTAAGGTGACCGATGCAATTATTCAGAACGTCAAACTGCAATCATTCGTAGGTATTTTACCCGCTACTAAGTATTAAGTCCCTCGTACTTGTAAAAACTGAATTGCTTCTTTCATCCCTATTACTCTAAACGAAGGATTTGTGATTAATTATTAGGATTTTTAATTTCTGAAGATATTGGAAACGGGTGATAACGTTTTCCATTAATTGCGATATTGTTGATCGAAGAATTCTGAAGCTGCTTCAATGATGTTTGAATCGAATAGATTTGCTCTTGCAAGATCCGCAGACGAAGACAACACGAGAGGGTGTTTCTCCCGTCCTTCTTGGAAACTTGAACTTTCAAATTAATCGGATTTCTGCTGTTCAATGCGACTTGATTTCAGAGCTTTAGGTCCTCCTCTCTAAGACTGCCCGACAGATTGCAGCTTAACATTCGATCTCGAATATAACTTGGTAGTGAATATAGTAACGATAAGCCACTGTAAACAGAAGTATTCCTCAGCATCAATTTTTTTTAAACTTATTACGGGGGAAAGGATCACTTAGAAAGGGTGACTTATCTATCTCTTTACAATAAATCTGCACTCCAATGGATATAGGTCACAGAATAAATATTTAGCGTGAACATCGCGTCGATATAAGCACATATCGGAGATGAGTTTGTTCCTGACTTGCATAACGGGTTTAATAGCTGAATTTGGAAGCGAATAAAGCAGACTATGACAAGCCCGACACCGATTGGGGAACGAAAGGACATCGATTCTACCGTGGATACTTGAAATTGTGTTATGTACTCTACCGAGGGAGATTCAAAGTTCACGCCTAATCGAGTTAATGAGCTCTCTCGCTGAGAGAACTAGACAATTACGGGAGACAGACCCGCCTCGTTGTCGTTATATCTTGTACCTTATACCTTATAGGCACCGTGTAGGTACACCTATAACATGTACAGCCATTTCGGAGGCAATCTCTAATCCCACGACGAGCCTGAGCCGAGGCCCAATATATACAGTTAATCCACACTATAATTAATTTCTACTAACTAAATCATCGCCATTTGTCCAAATAAGACAAATTTCATAATTGTACTATACCAGTCTTATACAAATTGGGCTGCCTTTAATAGGATCTTGAGTGATCTTGATCACTCGATCTTGATCATACATGTTAGCTTTTTTTAAGAGAATATATATTTATTAGTTTTATGCTAAACTAATTGTAAATCGAGCGGGTTGAAAGGGTTGGGCGCGGCGGGTGCGGGGGCGGGAGGGGAGGGGACCCTATATAAAGGTCGCCGGCGGCGCAGCGACGGGCACTCGCTAGTCGAACGTAGTCGCGGAGAGGTCGTGCGCAAACTTCCCGTTAATCTCGAATCCTAACCTCTCCACTGCTGTCCAGCTTCATCATTATCCATTATATTCAGATTGTATCGAGTGACACGCCGGAAGTCGGCGATAGAGTGCGGCAATTCAATCGGCCTGTAAGTAGGCTACTTCGTTATCACCTTATTACGAAATAAGAAATTATTTGATATAAAAGGCACAGTTGTCACCTGTTCGGTACAGCGTTCTTTAAAATGTTTGTTGTGATAAGAAATAGTCAAAATATCCGATGCAGTGCATTCAGCATTACTACCCATTTAACATTTGAATTAACACTTCCATTAAACTCATAAGACGAGGTACAATTTTGTGCAAAAAATGTGCCCCCATATTATATGAGAAGTTTGCGGAGATTATATATAAGACTATGTTTTTGACAGAGAAAAATGTTTTATCGGATTGATAAGACGTTTCCTTCATTGAAGTGTTACCCAGGTAATCGATTGAGCAACGTAGAGATAATTAACGCGTCTATTCAAATCGTTTGGTTGTATCATTAAATGAAACGAAATTCAACTCAATCCAACTAGCACTTTTTTCTTAAACATAGATCTCCTGCACGAAATTCAATGACTACAGAATCATTAACTAATGAAGCAATGCGCAATAATTAAAGTTCCTTCAGTAATATAAACAAATAAAAATATCATTTTTGCATAAAATATTCAATTCGACTAAGATGAAAAATATGAAGATTTTACATTTCGAAGCCAAAAGTTACTCTTTATTTGTCATAAGTATTACCAGCTTTCTTCTATGCTACACTTTTTTTTGCTTTATAGATGGGTTTCTTCTTTCCTAATAATAGCTTCTACTATTGCATTAACTATTACAGCCAATAATATTTTGTTTTAATAAATTGAATCGATTAAATGCTTTAATCGAAATTGATTTATCTTCGTTCATTGTCAAATTTTGAAGAATAAATTTCGTAATCTATGCGGAAAAAGGATAAAGTGGAGATCCTGGAAAACGAGATCAGGCAAAATCATTTCCTGCCACTTGACGTGGAATGTCGTATCGGGAATCCCTGCCTCTCCACGAACGCACGCAAATGCTCATAAACGTCATTGCCCACCTTCTTTCCCTGTTTGCTTGTAATTCCCGGCGTCGTAAAATTTCCTCATGCCTTAGGAGGTCTAAGGATTTTGTATTTCCAATCCCCTAGACCTTTCGCAAATTTCGCCAAATTTAGAGCTGACGACGAAGATATCATTGAGATTAACAATGGAGTAGAGAGAAAAAACATTCTGGTACTGCATTGAAAATTTCGATTGCTGCAAAGAGCTTTACTAAGTATACGGGATACATATTTCTGGCTAAGTTATACAATTTATATATCGTCTTGTTTTACAAATTTGCATACATTGTACCTTACTTATGGTTAGAATTTCACTCGACGACAATATGGATCAACATTTTTATAGCATTAAAATTAAGCTTTAACTTTAGTGCAATTTATAATTCGCAGTTGTCGATATTGCATTTGTTATATTTAATTGAATGAAGCATGGAAAATGCCTGTGTAGCATTCCTTAAAACGTCTTGTAAATTTGTAGTAAATCGGTGTAGAAGTTGTTGCTGCTTGAAAATCTCAAAATGCAAATTTTCCTCGAGGTGAGAGTGTAAAGAGAATGAAACCTGATCCAGGAAAATGAGTCATGGTCATTGCTCTTAACTACGGAGACCACTCTTACTTTTCTACGAAGGAAACACCTGCAATTACGCTTCTTTACTGTATCAACGAGCTTCGCCGCTTTTATCAGAAGCTACCATAGTACGTCATACACTATGTATTGCAAAGTCGTTTAACAGTTTATTCCTTTTTATATGAGAATATCATTGTCTATCATGCTCCTTTAATATATTAATTACTTGTCTTATTAAACGCGCACGCTTCTTCATATATCATGAAGCTTTTCTCATACAATTACACGTGGTTTTTTGAATGGTTACATCCATAACTAGTCTTATCTGCAGTGAACTTTAACTCTGAACCAAAAACCACCTCATATTATATTTATCGTGCATACATCTTTAGATTAAATTGCGAGTACCCTATACTTTGAAAACATACAAATTTGTATCGCATCTGTCAGTATTTGAACGTAAAATGCAAAACCTCATAATTTAATTTAATCTTTATTATCTAATATTAAATCGATATGAAGTAAAGGGGGTCACCTGTTCAAGAGGATTGTCACAGATTACTCAATGAATCGTAAGACCAATTGTGAATGAATTCCGCGATTGGCCGTATCATTAGTGACAGTGACTTTGTAATTGACACGTCCGCTCTGATGCATTCAATTCGGATCGGGAAAGTCCGGTTGCCGGTGTCAAGTTAGCCTTCGTCGATCTCCTGAGATTTCGACATGTCGAAAAACAAGGCAACTCACCGGACTCGGCCGAGGATACATTCTACAGTTTCGTGACGAAATTTCTACCTCTTTGTTGGCTGTTTCTACTCGGCTTCTTTGCGCAGTTTATTGCGCTCGCTCGAAGGTTTATAGGTCGGTGAAATTCAAGAATTGACAGTAATTGTGCAACACCATTATTAAGCCACCTTGATCATAATGAAACAAACCGTGCGTGTCTTCTCCTGATTTTCCTTTGTACAATGGAAGGAATAAGTCACACGTGATTCGCTAATATATCCTCGACGGGTAAGGCTCTCATAGGATTGCTTTTAACATTATCGGTCGTAGCACTTGTGCGATAATTAATTATCTCCTGAACATGTAATTGTTTCCTTCATTGCATTCATAAAAAGGGAAATGAAACACACTGTAACATGCTTCAATATCGAAACGTCTCTACAACTGGATTTGTCTTGTAATTATTGCTGATAACGTCGTTATGTGGGATTAAATTCTGCACTTGAGTTCAAGAACTTGATAAATATTACAATACCGAGTGAAGAGGCCGTACATGTCTTATTCTCTAGCGGCAGGTTGTACACTACTATTTTTTCTCCTGCTATATGTCTTTCAATTGTAAGTAATTATTCTGTTAACGTAACATGGACACTCTGTACTTACCGGTGCAATTTTCTTTTTTAATGGTCAAACGAGACATGACGATCTTGATGTTAAATTGACGGACGTATCGATTTCCAGAGAAAGAACGGGAAAAATGTTTCGCACGCATTTCGCAATTTATTCCGATAAGTGGAATTAGCTACAGTAATATTGTCAGTATGGGATATTTAAGTTAATTTGACGAACAACCTCGCAGGATTTAGAATGCGTATCAAGAACAAAAAAAAACTACCAGGATGTGGGGCGCGCCTGCGCCTTGTCATTGGCGTAATGCCGTTGAAAGTCAAGTTGAAAGTAATTTGTCGCGATTCCGTCAACCACTGCATCCGTAACTTTTGCACGGGGAAGGAAAAGTACGGAAGAGAAAAAAGTTATTATTCATTGCAGGACACATTAAGGGAACAATGGATCCTGAAAGCTTCAAGGATTTCGCCAACGCAATGGCGGGGTACATCACAGAATACACGACGAATATCAGGGACAGGTATATTATATCTTTAATTTACCAAATTAGTGTTCTTAATTCGTAGGAACAAAATTACGATTCGTTTACGAAGCACCTGATCAGTTATCCGGCTGCTTTGCTGTTAATCTGGTATTACTAATTATTATTTATAAGTTCCTGTTACAGTTTCATATCTGGAACTTGTCAGATGATATGATGACGTTGGTGCATAACAATTTATCTCAACAGTAATGCTTTCTAGTATGTTATTATCATTAGTTTAGTCTTCATTTAAAAATAAAACGACGAAGATCACGTCAGATTAGCTCTCTCGTTAACACCGCATACGTTGTACATCAGTTAATGGTAAAACTGGAACGATACCCGGGGGGGAAAAATATGGATTGGGGAGTGGGTGAAGGTGAAATCACCGAGGGAAAGGAAAGGACTATCAGCCTTGGTAAAGTGTGCAAATCTTTCAAAGTACTCCAGCCAAGTGGTTAGAGAATAGCGGGCAATTTTCTCGAAGAAGCGAGGCATTCCTTGTCCAAAGATGGGGCGATGAAGTGGGAGGGGAAATGGCGTTTTAGAATTATTTAGTGAAATCGAAATTGCCCTTTCAGGAGGGTCTTACCGACTGTTGAGCCGGGATATCTGCAGTCTTTGTTGCCAACCGAAGCACCGAAAGACTCGGAAAAATGGGAGGATATCATGACCGATGTCGAAAAAGTAATAATGCCTGGGGTAAGTATGTCGGGAAAATTAAACTCTAGATATTGTTAATTCGAAGTCAGATTTATAAATCTATTCGAGCGATTAGGACCAGGGTTATAAGGGAAATAATCCGTACTCTGAAATTTTTCTTCTAGGTCACCCATTGGCAAAGTCCAAAATTTCACGCCTACTTCCCGACGGCGCATTCTTACCCAGCAATTGTTGCCGACATGTTGAGCGGTGCTATTGCTTGCATCGGTTTTACTTGGGTAAAATGAAATATTTTTAACTGCAAAAGTATTTTTAATGCTTTTGGTTTAAAAGTCTAGAGATATGTTTAATAGTCTGCTTTATTAAAAAATGCGGTATTAACGCAATGACATGACTTTTAGATCGCCAGTCCGGCTTGTACGGAATTGGAAGTAGTGATGATGAATTGGTTAGGAAAGATGTTGGACCTCCCGAAGGAATTCTTGGCCTGCGGTGGAGCAAAAGGTGGTGGAGTCATTCAGGTATAATAAAGCTATAAGGAATAAAAGGAGTTAACCGGCTTCTTAGAGGAATTTAATATCGAATCCGATTCATAAAGTCCTCTTCGTGTAATCCGAGATTTAATTTACCTCGGTGACTTCCTCAGGGAACTGCGAGCGAAGCTACCCTGGTTGCTCTTCTTGGGGCGAAGGCCAAGAAGGTCCAACAAGTCGGGAAACAGCATCCGGACTGGACGGACAACGAAATCATCGGGAAACTGATGATGTATGGTTCCTGTAAGTACATTCCGAACTCCATTGGTTGTTCAATCCCTAACAGATGGCTGTTTCCAAATGGCACACTACAGAGATACAGTGTAATGATTATAAGCTGCACAATTTCTTAATTTCTCAAAAGTTAAGAAGAAGGGTCATTTCATCTACAGTCGTGAAGCTTGTGTTATTAGTAATTCTCTCTCAAAATGTATTCGGCTTGAAACTCTACCTAATTTCTTGGTGAATGATTACCCTTCTCTGAAAAGTTGTGACATACAAAACTGACATCGAGTAAATGCTTGATCTGGCTTACAAGGTTATACGAGAAAATCTACTTTAGGGCTACCTAATGAATTCATGGGACGTTGCCGAAAGTTAATTGCGCACGCACTTGTACTTCTCGATACAGGTTTACAACATCTCTCCATTTAAGAGATCGTGGAGTTTTATTCTGAGAAGGTTTATTCCGACAACTGTAGGATGATTGGAAGCCGAAGCTATTCATTAGGTAGGCGATAACTTAGGACAATGGGGCTCGGTAGGGAAAAGTTTTCCGAGATTTCTGCGAATTTCCCCAAGGGCATTTTTCTTTGGTGGTCCCCACATTGACGCAGGCATTATCCGTTCATAGAGCTCGAAAGTCGAAAGGGTGTTTCGAGGCGGAGAAGTCGTGCAAGGATGGAGCACTTCAACAGGCAGCACTTTGTCACCATGGCAACGCGTAATAACCACTCGAGTTATCCCTGTTCGACCATTCTGGACCACCTCCAACCCCTACAAACCACCCCTACTTCATACTCGCGCCGTTAAATCACGAGCCCTCCACCAACCGCGGGATGATTTTCAATGAAAAGCCCTCACTTGATCTCGAGAACCTTTTATTTCCCGTCACCTTCCGTCCGTGACAACAAATGACTTCTGTCAGGACCTTTCGGCGCTCTGCAACAACCATCGACGCGATCGACGCGATTATCATTTTCGATGAATTACAAAGCGCTCTCTGATTTCTCGATTTTTATTTTTCAAACTAACAATTATTCCAAAGGAAAGCATAAGCAAGCTGAGTGATAAAGAAATGCCGTTTACCCCAATATTTAATTTTTTTCCTACAGAAAAATGATATTAAGACATTTGAGAATGTCCGTTGAATATCCTGTGTCACTTTCTATTTAGGTTACATTTATTTATTATTGTTCATTGCAGGTCAAGCTCATAGTTCGGTGGAACGCGCTGCTCTTCTAGGAGGTGTGCGATACCGACTTCTGGAAGTCGATTCGAAGCACAAACTTCGAGGTGAAACTCTCTCAAAAGCGATCCAAGAAGACAGAGATAAGGGCTTGATTCCATTTTACGTAAGCTTCTACTGTAACAACAATTAATCCTATCTTTTTTAACGAGGCTCTCTTCAACTCAAGATAATCCTGTTTAGGTTGTTGCAACTTTGGGAACGACTGCTTCCTGCGCTTTCGACCGTCTTGACGAAATGGGTCCTGTGTGTAATCGCGAAGATATTTGGTTGCATGTCGATGCCGCATATGCAGGTAACTTGATTGACTATGTTTTAAAAATTAGAAATTTTGCATTGCATACCGACGTGCGGAAAGGTAACATCTCCAGCTTCGTTTATCGATTGAAAGTTTCCAACTGAGTTTAAATATTAATGATCGACATTTAAAAATGTAGTTGTTCGTAGTACTGCATTTAAAGTTCTTTCCTCCTAGGAGATAGAAAATAGTTTCTACGGAGTATAATGTTTAAAATTATGAATTTAAGGTTCCGCCTTCATATGCCCGGAATTCCGTTACCTGATGAAAGGCGTTGAAAAGGCTGATTCTTTCAATTTTAATCCGCATAAGTGGATGCTAGTCACTTTTGACTGTTCCGCATTGTGGTTGAAGGATCCCACTTATGTAATTAACGCGTTCAATGTTGACCCCCTTTACCTGAAGCATGACCTCCAAGGCTTGGCTCCTGATTACAGGGTAAGGCATACCTTAATAATTAAAACATTAATCACCATTTGAAATAATTTTATCTGCGAACTGTTAGTACCTTTTGACACGATGAAGGGACTAATTTATGATAAATGTTGCAGCATTGGCAGATTCCCTTAGGCCGCAGATTCAGATCGTTGAAGATTTGGTTCGTTCTGCGTATTTACGGAATTGAAAACCTTCAACGTTACATCAGGAAACACGTATCTCTGGCACACGAATTTGAAGCGCTCGTACTTTCCGATCCCCGTTTCGAAATAATCGAAGAAGTCATTCTTGGATTAGTTTGCTTCCGACTGAAAGTAAGTCGTCCATAATAATCTAGAAGGGTGAACGAAAATGTGACCGTTAATACAAGAAAAGTAATCGTTATTTTCATAGAACGCAGTATTCAACATTGATACGCCGAAAATATGAAAAACTGCAGATATTTCTATTACACATTGACACACATTTTTATAACATTCAGAAATTCTTCAAGTCACATTGACGTTCCCATTTACGATTATTTCCAATATCGTTTTTTTTACTAATTTCTATTGAATTATTACGTAACCCTCATCTTCGAAAGAATATTCCATAACGTGTCTTATTATTATTTAACGATTACTCGCCGTTCCTGCGGTTCTTAATCACCGAGCATAAAACCAGTTCCACGGCAGCATTTCACAACTCATAGATTGAGTTGAAATTTTTGAAACGTTGAATTACTCAACTTTTTTTCAGCACCTTGTACACGAATGCCCTCCTTCGTAATTGTATTCTATTTTCGATCTCCTTAATTACTCTACTTGATTTTCAAATTGTTACCTCACGGAAGCTGTTTTAATTTGTAATTTCACGGATTTAAAATTATTTGTCTTTACAGGCGACCAATGAGGTGAACGAGGCCTTATTGAAGCGAATCAACGGTGCCGGGAACATTCACCTGGTACCGTCAAAGATCAACGACATATATTTCCTACGATTCGCCGTGTGCTCGCCATACAGCGAAAGCAAGGACATCCAGAATTCCTGGCGAGAGATCAAGCTACGAGCTGATGAAGTCCTTGAAGAGCAATCGATTCCCAAGTGATGGCGCGCTCAGATAGCTCGAGGTTGCAAGGCCCTGGCACCTGTCAGCTGCAACCAATCATAGAACCACTTGTAGGCTCATCGTATTTCATTATTTAAAACACGTTCAAATGACATCGAAACGACGGATTCCCGATAGTGCACCCATCCATGACAATTGTATAAAAGGATGAAGTAGGATATTGGAAATCAACGACTTGCGATCAGAAAATGTGTCTCTGCTCAGTATTGTTTAACAAAGACAAATTCCCTCGAGTTAGATTTTACATGTTTCGGATAATTAATTTTTAAATCGGACAGTTGGATTTTGTTGAAGTTAACTAATCGAGTTAGGAGTTGGTCATTCGTTTCAGAAGCGTGAACCGATATTTATTGAATTGACAAGATTTAATCAAAGCAACACAAATTTGCTGGAACAACCGGCCGGTTCATTGCTGAATTGCATGTCGGATAATTGGATTTCATATCGATTTTAATTTAGTTGATATTATGCAACCGAGTTAAATGACCTAAGTTAATTGTAGAATAACCAACGTAATTAACTTAACTCGAGTGAAGTGTTTTATCGTGGAAACTGTTGTTGATGATTATTCCACGATTTAAACGTGGACGTGTAAACTGTGTATAGTCATATTCTTTCCACGAAGCGATAGTTGAAGGAATGTTGGCCTTGAGGTGCTAATATCATTAGACATATCGGATTTGTTAAGTGATTAGGGAAGAGAAGAAGAGTATTGAACCTCAGGCTCCACGGATATCATTTTATCCAACGAGATAACATTGATATTGATATTTGTATTAGTTTGACTTTGTTCGAACGCACAGCTTACTATGGTGATTCATCGAAAAACATAAAGGTGCTTACGATATAATTTATTACCGTACGGAGTAAAAGATTGGATATCATTGGCTAAGGAAACGGAGTTGGACCTCCCGTCGACGACGAGGTTAACAAATCGAGAGTTAATAAGTTAAAGTCCCCTCGACTATCGCATCGTCTAGTTTTAAGATCCTTGTCTAAATGTCGCACAATATTTGTGATAAATGAGGTGCGTGTATATCTGTACGTATATTGTAAATAACGGTCTTTTGCCTTAGAAGTTTCTTGCGAAGCTGTTAACCAACAATCTGTCTGGTATAAAATCAAATGTTATATTTAAATCGTTTATAAATGTATAGGTTACCGAGAATTCAAGAAATGTTCCACTGTGTTTTGTGCAATGTACAGTCGAATTTTTAGGCGGATTCCATTTGTTTGATCCCATTCTCGACAAAATGGGCAAATGTTTTATAATACATCTGACACTTGCTAGCTTCGCGAAGGAACTTTTCCGTGCAATTATAGGGCCTACACCGTAGAGCATGTTTCCTGCCAAAAAATGTCCTCTTTTCGTTAAAAAAGAAGGAAGATGAGATCGGCGAGTATTTATGCCGATATCCTTTTAACGAAGTAGTGCTGCACCCGGGACAATAATAGGTCTAGAAGTAGTCCGAGAAGTTAGAGTTGGCTAAGACTATGTGGACAATAGTTAGCCACTGAAGTACTATTAATGGGACCAACGGGAACCGATCGAACTTGCGAACTTGTACCTGTTGCGCTTGTATGTTTGAAGAAGTATTTTTCGCTCCCCTCGGGAGGATTTTTCGCAGATTCGACTCTCACGCATACTGGTCGAGTGTAGCGCCGACGCACATATACTCAACATCTCGACCCGTGGCTTGGCGCTTGGCTGGTTGGGACGCGCGAAGATTTCTAAGAGCGATCACGCTCACGCAGATTCGCTGCATGAGAGTTCCGTACGCGACACCGACGCGTGCCACAAAGCTCCGCATCACGTCGACTTCGAGGCAACAATGTACTTAATAGTAGTAGATAAAGTCAAATGGAGCGTCACGAGTGTTCTTCCCTTACCATCAAAAGCGTGCAGTATCGGTAAGCGTAGGTAAGCCACCACCGTCAACTGCCGCATGGCATTACCATCACGAGTACGTGAGCCGCCAACGGCTACTGGTAGATGGCACCGCCATCCTGAGTGCGCGAACCCCTACCAGAAATTCGTTGCGCCGACCTTGGGGGCAAAAAACGGTGAAAGCTAATGTACGAAGCCAGAGGGCAGCATAGGATGTGATCGCGCGACCCTGCCCGTGAGCTATCTCCCAATTCATCTCTGTACAAAATTGCCAATAATTAATGACGTTTGACGAATGTTGTTGCAACTCGATGTAAATATTCGATGACACTCATCGGTCCCGCTACAAGTTGACGGAAATGTACCATGTATGATGGTTGAACGTACTTATATGTAAAATATTTAAACCAGTCGCCTTGGGATTAACCAAATAATCTCTTACCAGGTGGTAGAGTTTGTAGAAAATACGTATATTATGAAACATCATGACATGATTCCTTAACTCGTACAACGATTAGGTGCTTACTTGGTTCTAACAATTCCTTTCCATCATGGCAAAGGCTACGAGTATTATTTTACAAATTTCAATTGACATCCCCATCGTAACAACGATACAGGAGAAGCGAGGTGACAGTATTCGGCCGAACGAGGACTTTTCTCAATTTCCCAAGCTCCGGGCAGCAATTTAATTTCCCCTAGTGATCCTTATCCAGATTTTAGATTCATGGACAAGGAACCTTGCAAGATGGCTCTGGAGGTGCCCTGGGAGGTCCTCCGAAACGTTTCGTTAATTGTATTATTCTTTCAGCTTCGCGGATTCCGCTCAATCTTGCTCCATGTACAGTACTATAGTGTCCAGGGATAGTTGCTTCCCCGGCGAACAACAATATAGGAGCAACGGGTTCACAGGAGCCTAGAAAAACAATTTAATTTCGATCTTTCCATTCTAACATTTCAGTTGACGCCAGATATAATAAATTCATCCCCATGGATATAAGAATTGTGTAACCCTTAAGACATATTCCATACGTATTGATATTTGTTTATTGATACATTTGCCCATTTTGTCATGACTCACCTGGTACAGAACTCGCCAGGTCGCACTGATGACCAACCGTACTGTCCATCGCCATGTAGCTGTAAGAACCAGCAAAGTACTGATCCGTGCACCATTTGCTGCGTAATAAATTTGCCGGATACGGAAGGGTTGGGTCTCCAGTGAACTGTCTCAAAACTCGCGTCAAAGACTCGACAACTTCCTCGTCCGAGCACAATTCCATGTCTGCAGCTTCCCTGCCGCATACCCAGGCGCACAAAACGTGCTGGGAGGTGCCTAGCTCTTCTATGTTCGACACACCTAGAAAAAGTCATACTTAATATCCAGATCGCATCTTATAAATTAATACCTAGGAAAGAAACTACTCAATATCCAGAACTCATCTGATGAATTCATTCCCAAGAAGAAGTATAAGAAGAGACTATGGATCCTGAATAAATCAATTCCTAGGAAGGAAACTAGATTCATTGCAATTTATAAAGCGTTTTTATGTTCTAGGCATATCTAAACTCGTCGAGATGATTTATGGACGTAAGAACGAGTAACTATGAGTCAGTTGAGGCAGACCTTTAACCCAGTCGCACCTATCGGCGAGTTCGTCGGCAGACCAGGCGAGTCTGATGCCTCCTTCTCTCCAGACCCAAAATGGCCTCTGGTACTCAAGGAAGATCTTATTAACGTATCCATATCCTAGCTTGCAGATAGCCTCGACTTTCTCGGCAGGCAAAGCAGGGCAAAAGAGCTTGTCGTGCTGATGCTTGAGCACTCCCAGGGGCACGGTGACGATAACATAATCAGCTGGGAACTCCTCTCCGTCGCAGCACTTGATCATTGCTCGAGGACAGGAATCGCTCACTGCGCCCCATCGAATGCAGCTTACAGGTTTGCAATACTTCAAGGCACAACCAGGAAGCTCCCTCAGGAGAGGGGCCAGCACCCCGACGTATCCCAGGGGAACCCTCAGGTTCCCTCCTGGAATTTCGATGTAACTTCCGAACTGGTCAGCAGAGACCAAGGAGAGATCGTCGCCGCAACGGCATCTGATGCAGTTCGACATCCCGTACATCACTCGAGCTGCGTCGTACCTGAAGAGCGAAAATTCTGGTAATAATGTATCGCCGAAAGTAAACTAAAATCAACCCCAGTAGCATAGAATAATTTCTAAATATTTCTTTCTAATCTTTGCTAAATATCTCATATATTTTTTAAGATTTCTTGTAGATTTAATTCGAAGATATTTGAAATATTTGTCGAAAATCTCGATGACATTTAGTTTCGATAGTTTATAAACATATGGCGAAATTATATTTTTTAACTCGTAAACATAATAAAAATACTTTTTTTACTTCACGGCTGTTATCGGACACTTCATTTGGTATCTAAAAACACGAGAAATTATTGTATTATTTTCGTTCCGCTATTTCATTATGGGAGCAAAACGTGTGATTTTGATTTGAAATATTTTTAAAACGTTTATAATGTATTCGGGAGATAATATTTAGAAAATGCTTGTGTTAAAATGAAACGAAATGTTTTGTATATCTGGTAGAAAAGTATTACGAAAACACATGGGATAATATTCTACAGTAAAAGTTTTGCAAATATTTCAAATGTCTGGTGAATATTTACAAAATGTACGATATTCGTTGAATATATAGAGAATATAGGACAAATATTTTGTGCTACTAGGGAACGTACGTAGAGATTATCTTGTCTCAATCACTCAATTAAAATCGAGTACTCTTTCCGTTACACACTTTGTGGCGGGAACGTAAAAGTACGCCATTTCTGTGTTAGCACTCAATTGTCGAAGATGTGAAGTTACGTCTTTTACGTTTTCATTTTCATTATTCAGTACTTTCTCGGTTACAGCAATTTTCCATGTGATGAAACATTAATCGAAAATGGGAAATTTCATCGGGTTAGAAAAGATCAAAGATCTAGGAAACGTGGCATTTGTCCGTACTTTATTCTATGCCTAAATTAACATAGAATGAAAGAAATTACCGCTGTTCCTCAGGAAAGTTGTGGAGTTCCTGCTGAATTCTGACGGCCATGAAATTCAGCAACGTCCCGTGAGCTCTTCCGCAACCCAGGGTGAAAAGGGCCGAGGCTTGCTGTTCGATCTGTCGAAACGCGTGATATGCGGTTATGCTGACTGGCAGATCGATAGCTCGACCTTCGCTGGTGCAGAAGAGACCACGACTTGGATCCGGTCTGAACAACGGAGGCTTCAGAAGACCTTCTTGGGCGGCCAGGGTGAACACTGGATTCGCCACGCATCCACCCTCGATCCATGTCGCTCCCATTTCGGCAACCACGTCTCCCAGCCAACAGGAATGGATACGTCCTCCTGGTCTGGACACCACAGAATTATTCCTTTTTGTTAGAGCCAGGGATCTTTCAATTTGTCCACCTGGCATTACCTCCTTAACACAATGACTCCCTGAGAGAAACAAATGTCATTAAACCAAAGAAATATCGTTCATTCAAAGAACAATACTCTGAAATAAACTCAAATAAATCGTCGTTATCTCGAAGAAACGTTGCATCCAATTTCTTTGAGTTTAATTGAATAAAATAATTATTCTTCGAATTAACGAGATTTTTACTACGGTTCAGTGAAATTTTCGTCTCGGTGGGGGACATGAAAGTTCCTAACGTGACAGGGTATCACGTGAAATTAGTGTGTCGGAAAAGGCAAATTTTGTGGACGACCAGATTTTATTAAGATAGGATTGAGAAGCATACAGATTAAACCGATTAAAGATCCGAAATAAGAGTTATCGGAAACCTCCGAGTCGCAAGTTTTGCGCCTTTTTGGCAAAGGTTTATAATGGGCCCCCTGGTACGACATAGTTTTGATATGGTTGACCTATACAGGCTTCCAAGGATGTTCGGATAAACAATGAATGGTATTTTTCAGATCTACGACCTCGACTTACAACAGGCCTTTTTTACCATTTTTGGACACCCGACCATTAAGTGCTCGAAATCCCGTGACGACTTTTCCTAACGCTCGCACGAACGAACAAATAACAGCTATAGTGAAGAATGATAAAAAAAAAAAAGATGATGATTCCGTCAGCTTTTCATGTAAAAATTAATATAATAACGATTGAATAATTTTATGAAAAAAATATACCGTTACCAATAGTATTCCTGACAATTTTATCTACGTGAAGTGTATCGACAGACCCCGTCCTCGGCGTGAAATCTTCAAAGAAGAAATAAAATTTCCTTCTTTCCTCCGCATTCGTGGAAAAACAACAATTGTCCCGTTTATTTATGGACGCACGAGTCGAGCCACTCGTAGTAATCCTTTTTTCCGTTTTTTTCCTTTTTCAGAGATTGCGTGATCCGAGCGGTACACTCGATCACGGTTCGATGAGCAATCCTGAACATTGGACGCAATTTCAGGGCCGATATTGAGCGATTTACCTGTCCGTGGCTTCTAGGATGGTGAAATTCTGAAGGCCACATTGGGCCAGTCGATGGGCGGCCGAAAGTCCGGCCATTCCGGCCCCGATGATGACCACTGTTGGTTCCGGCTTGCATGGATCCACCATGCAAGGGTCCAGCTGACAGGACTCGAATTTTGCCACTTTCGCACATGGTGGAGTTTCCTTTCTACCAGGTCCTCCGGCTTTGATAGTGGCAAAATATCTATTAAAAAGTATTGGATGTTAATAGGAATGTTAAACAAAATAATGCACACACAATCAGGAAAAAAGAGGTGATAGATCGTGAGTGTCCATCTGGCAGGATTCGAATTTACCACCATTGTGCATGGTGAAGTTTCCTTTCTACCAGGACCTCCGGCTTTGTTAGTGGCAAAATATCTATTAAAAAGTAATCGATGTTAATAGGAATATTAAACAAATTATTGCACACAGAATCCGGAAAAACGAAATGATAGATCGTAATAGTCCAGGACTTCAATTTACCACCTTCGCCCAGGGTGAGGTTTCTATTTTACCCTATCCTTCGCCTTTGCTAATAGCAATTTATCTAATGAAAAAGTGAACCAATTTAACAGAAATATAAAACAAAATAATTATGAAATAATACAATGACAGGGAGAACCGAGTAATTTGCAAAGAATTTGAGAACATTTCCTCTAGGTATTAAGAAAGTCAGAGAACGGCTTGTCAAGATACAAATTATGTCAAAACGATTAGCTGAACTGTGACTTTTCACATCGCGGACTCACCTGAGGACAAGTCGCGGACCCCAACAGGAAATCCGACTCCTCACTAGGAGCATCTCATCGGGTATATACCGCAACGAACTGGTGAATTTTTCATGGAGATATTTTGCCGAACTTTATTTAATTTAGGTATCAAATGCAACGTTCTTGTTGGGGAACGTTGCTAAGAAAACACGCCAAGCTCGACAAACATCCTCGATTCGCTCTGACAATCAACTGTCGATTAGTAGTCAGAGTCATGTAAAATTTTCCTGCAAAGTTGTGAAAATAGATTTAACGTTAGTTCCATTGGTTTAAAATAATCCATTTACAAAAAAATATTATCTTCCGGAAGCTGGTTAAAGGAGCGTGAACACTATGCAAAATGAATTTGCGGCGCTTGAGTAACCTTACATTTATTTTGTATGAAATAGTACTGGTCTAATTAATTTACTCAGATTGGTCAACTAAGAACAATATTTCTGTGACGGTTAATTGAGTATTGGTAATGGTGATGATATCCCATACGTAAGGTCGCATGGCACATGGTATTTGGTCCCGCTATTGTTGTCCACTTTTATTTCACTTCACGTTTTGGTTATCTTTCAAAAACATAAAAATTCTGGAGGATTTTTTTACGGGATTTGAACCAGCAATAAACAATATTAATGCATTACGCTAGCTATAAAATTGGCTTAATAAGTTTATAAAAAAAACGATTTTTATTTATTCTTTGTTAAAATGTAATAGTAGATGGTTGTATGAATACGCAATATATTGCATGCTTTTGCTCTTTGTCACTTATTGACATGGTTGATGAAAACTTAGTAAAATAGGGGCGGTTTGTAATTACTACAAAATTCTCATGAAATTTACTTTCCTTAAGATCATGCCAAATATCTCTGGAACCCACATTGACAGTGAAAGACGTGATAAAAGGTTTAAAAGTAATGATGTTTTAACAGCTACTTGTACTTTTTCTAAATAAGACTAATCCTACATCTAACTATACAGGTATAACTTATATTATAGTTTAATAACCATCTGTTAAAAATTCTCAACTCAACCTCTGAGGAAATAATTCTACAATAACAAATCAAACTGTAGAAATATTTCAGAATCTAATGTTAAAAGCTATTATACCGATACTTCCACTTTTTTTTTTTTAACAATTACAATACAATGCCTACCAGTAATTACTTCGTTTGCTTTTAATATTCACTGGTCACGACATTAAACAAATCGTTATTACAAATCGGGATGTTTTTTTCCTTCACGTATCAAGCTAAGAATCCTCGGTTTTTTAATTGCTAATCTGTACATTTTAGGATTTACGAAATCTTTTGTGACATCTCCTTCTTTCCAATATTCAATTTCTTTAATCTTGCCACAATCTCCCCCGATTGTTCCTTCGCATTTCCTAGCTTCTCGTTTTGAGAAAAAATCGAGGCTCTCGATTCTAAAATTTCCGAAGCTTGTCCGCAGATTTCATTCCACGCATAGTCGATGTCTTCTTCCTGGCACATTCGACTTCCAACAAGGAACCGCAGCATTAACTTATCCTGGAAAGTAGCTGGAACGATGTAAATATTTTTCCTTGTCATAATTCGGTCAAGCAACTCTTTGGTAAGACTGTCATCCCCCTAAAAGACCGAATAAATTGAATATTAATTAAGTACGTTTGAACGTCAAGAGTATTAAAAATGTGATAACACCTTTAGATTGTTCGTCAAAAAATATTTAAAAAATGTGTAAACTAAACGAACAAATCCACTAAAATATGAGAATTGGGCAACTTCAGATACTTTTACTTTCAGTGAATCTAAGATTTGTAGTATTTTAGCCAACGTATTAAAAAAGATTATTTGACTGTTCAATTTTAAGATACCTTCATCCTGAAACAAATTAAACCCATGACGGTTTCGGAGACGATCTCGAATTTCTCGTTGGATTTGACTAAATTTGCAAATCGCTTCGCAAGTTCAATTGTGTGGCGGATGTGTTGTTGAAGACCTTCGATACCATAAATACGTAAGACAAACCAAAGTTTCAAGGACCGGAACCGTCGACCCAAAGGAATCTGCCAATGCTGTTAAAATATTCCGCTGTTAGAACATACATTACTCCAGTCTGAAATTATTTTTCATTTCTAATTTTTCATAATTAATTCGAGGAGATGTGTTTATTAAAACTTGCCCTATAGTCTGGAGCTAATCCTTCTTTCGGATGCGAGAGATATATTCTGTCCACGTTGAATGCTTTGATGAGATTGCTGGCATCCTTTACCCTGAAATAATTTTAGACATTGTTTTATTTTATCTTATTTTTCATGCCCCTTATACATTAGTATGAAAATGACATTTTCCGTAAGTACGCACCACATAGCAGAACAATCGAAATTGACGAGTAACCATTTATGTGGATTAAAATTGAAAGAATCTGCATATTCCACGCCGGCCATCAGGTATCGAAACTCCGGACAAATGAAAGCCGCTCCTGAAATAATTGGAGAATATTGTATTTGAGAATATTGAGAATATTGAGAATTGCAGAATTTTGAAGGTTAAATCGTAACAAGGAGGAACGTCTCTCGGAAGGTGATCTCAGTTTCGAAGGTGCACTTCTCAAGGAATTACTGATGGTGGCAAGCGATAAAAATTAATTGTACATGGCAGCACTTTATGGCGGACATTGGCCTCTTTTTCTTTCGCGTGTGCTACAGAAAGTAAAAGTAATCATGTGTACACCGATTCGGGTCGTTGTGAAAGTTAATGGCGATGATTTCACTCTTCTTGCGACCATACGAGATTTCCATATGATCACCGTTCATAGTCTCGTTGACTTTTTTCGTCACTGGACAAGTGAGAATACTTTCGGACTTTCTCTGCAATTTAACTTGGAGAGTATTCTCTACTGTTTATTGCTAACCTAGAACCAATAAACAATGGACTACTAAGGCAATATTTAATTCCTACTCTTCAAAGGCGTTTAGAAATCAGTTTCTCCGCAGATTATTTTCTGCTTTCTCGTATTTCCATACCGTGACACGGATTCCTGTGCCGGAGTACCGTAAAAGCAATCTATAGAAATGTTTAATAATAAAACCGAAACAGCATACTTATAAAAATTCAAATTAGAAAGCATGAAATTACGAATACCACTAACCTGCATAAGCGGCGTCTACGTGAAGCCACAAGTGATTGTTATTGCAAATTGGACCGAGTTCTTGCAAATCATCGAAAGCACAGGTCCCAGTAGTTCCTAAAGTAGCTACTACATAACAGGGAATTAAACCAGCTGCCTCGTCCTTTTTTATAGCTTCCAGCAATGTGGAACCACGAAGTCGACATTTTTCATCAGTAGCCAGCAAACGCATAGGCATTGAACCCAGAAGTCCAGCTTTTTCCACCGAGGAATTGGATTGATCTATGTGACAAATAACCACTTTTTAGGATAATATTTAAGAGAGCACGTAGTGATATAAAATAAACCTATTTTTAGAAGCGCAGCGACGAAAAGTATTTTAAAAAAAATATAAGGAAAGGAAGAAAGCAATAAATTAAATAAATATTTTATTGAAATTCGTTTTTACCTGAAGTATATGCGACCAATTTAGACTTGATATATCCTTCGTCCCATTCTGGATGCAATTCTTTTATACGCCTCGTTGTTTTCTCCTTGGCGGCCAATAATCCGACGTATGTAGACTCACTTGCAGATCCCTATAAAAATGAAATAAAATAAATTAAACTAAATTGACTTAACCGTTTTTCAGCATTTTCAGAGAATTAATTCTCCTCGCGGCAACGATTTTCATTAATTATATAAGTTCATTACGTAAGTCTCTTGAAATATTATCTTGAGTTTTTAGTAGAAGAAATTGCAGTGTTAAAAGATTCATAATTTGAGAAAGTAACGGACTAGTATTACTTATCCGTGGAAGGAAATTAATTCAGATGCTCTTCGTGTTATCTTTGGAGCAAGAAAACGCCATAATATAATGTATCGGTAATTAACATACTTTCATTCGTTTATGAATATGTAATCGGCACTGGTTAACATCGTGGTTCGTTGTTCTGGAGTAATATAATGTATCGGTAATTAACATACTTTTATTTCTTTATGAATATGTAATCGGAACCGGTTAACATCGTGGCTCGTTGGTCTAGGGGTATGATTCTCGCTTAGGGTGCGAGAGGTCCCGGGTTCAAATCCCGGACGAGCCCCACTTTTTTACCATTTTTTTTTTTAACCAAAGATTACAAAATCCATACTCATAATTTCTTCTTTTCATAATTTCTCAAGACTAACATTACGCAATGTGCGTATTTTGCGCAATTTCAATTTAAGCTCCAACAAATTCCGATCTTTACAAAACGTAAGACCATGCTCTGAAAATCGTTTATTTAGAATCAATCATTCTCCGACATATGTTTCAATGAAATGCGTACAGACGTATATCATTTTTTTCATTAATTGAAGTAATGCTCTGACATACACCGTCGCGACAGTCACATATGTACAGAATGAATGAAAAACATAAAGAAATGAACACTCATCTTTGCACTGCAATTTCCTAGCACGCGACCGAACGGGATGAAATATTAACCCAGTTAACTGGTTACATTACAATCCTTGCTCCACAGACCTACAAATTTAGCATAATAGCGCATTTCCTGCTTCATAAAATGAGGGAATAAACGGTCACTTCACTACTCTAGTCTTAATGCAATAACAATGCAAACCTTGCGGAGTTTCCAATAAAAAGAACGTTAATTTTATGTCATTTAGCAAGGGTCACCTCCTTAATAGGCATACATTTATATCGCCAAAAGTCAAAGTCTATTCATAGCAAGATGCCACAGTATCAAGATCTCCATATCACACTTTCATATCACCTTAACGGGGTGAAACATTAGAATCAAGATACTGCTCAAAACCCTTACATTTGCGCAGTACGGTACATAGAGTTCAGTACATTACATAAATTGTAGGAATAAAAAGGCGTCACACGTTCGATCTCGGGGATGCAATAACGCGAATTACGTGCAATCGCAGCACCTGGGTTTGCTCGGGAGCAGACCACGTGGCTGTTGCGAATCGCTCGAACTCTCGTCAGCAAATCGTCGAGAGGCAAGGCGACGTTACCGTTACCTGTATGACTCCGCCACCGGGACCTTCGCCGCAATTCAGAAAGACTTCCGGAAGTTCCAGCATTTTCCCGAGCCAGTTCATCGTGACGACCTCGAGTTCCGTGCAGGCCGGGGAAGTTATCCAGGAGAACCCGAGACAGCCGATTCCAGCGCTGAGCATCTCCCCTACGATCCCGGGGTAGGAGTTCCCCGTGGGATAGTAGGCGTGGAATCGAGGCGAGTTCCAGTGGGTTATCTAATCCCGAAGGACGCAATTCTCCGGTAAAAAACGCTCGCCGATACGTAATGTATGTTATTATCAACCGTGTACTCGTGGAAGCAGCGCGACAAGCATGTAAACATTAATGAAAATGAAGCTCCGAGTGATTGATACTTGGGAAAGTATCGGCTTCGATTGATGTTCCCCGAGTATTTTTATGTATCGAATAGGTTCCCTCCTGGGGTAATTACAGGTATTTTATGCAGTTCAAGATATTCTCATTGGTCGTTCCAAAATTTCTGTTATCTGCAGGTGGGTATTGTCTTTATTTAGGTTCTATTCACTTTACTTACATCACTGACTTGCAGTACCCTACAGGTAATGTTCATTTGAGGTTCGGCAATGGAGACGATAGAATTTTTGGAACGACCTGATATTGTTATGTGTGGTCATTGTCGTATGAATAAAGTGATAAATTGAATTAATGTTGTTTGTGCAGTTTTTTGTGAGTCAATGGTGGGAATAAAGAAGTCGCTTTGGAAGAAATCGAAATCCCGAGTGTGTGGAAAGGAAAAGAATTCCGTTCGAAGAGAGAGACCTACTTACTCCGGGCATGATCACTCTCTCGAGATCCTTGAAGACCTCCTGCCAGGATTCCGGTTTCCGAGGAGCATCTTCCGGTATCAGTTTGCTCAAGTATCCTGGTTCCACACTTGGCAGGACTTTTCTGTCCCTCAGATTTTCCGTGTAATCGCCGATAAAGTCAATCGCCGCCTTACCGAAGTCCTTAAACTCGTTCACATCCATTTTTCTAAATTTTCGATTCTTCTCTCGATCTCCCGAAATGATTAACAGAGTTCCACCTTGGACAAAGCAATTCAAATTGACTATAATTAAACATTTCATATCCCTTACACTTTTAGTTTGTACATAATGTACGAATACTGACAATAATCTATGACAAACGCTTTACAATGCGAACAATTTGACAATTTTATTAGAACGAACCATCAAAGCACCCTGAAACTCGTATTAAAAGCGGAAATCACAGGACTTTACACTTCTCGTCATCTTTATAAATTATTATCATGAATCTACAGTAAAACACACGTAGACAAATAATTCAAATGATACAAATAAAGTAAAAAATAAAGCCATTCCCTGGATTCAGGATCTATATTTCACATCAGCCTTAAAAGATCGGCAGATTTCTATCCATATTTAATTATGTTCACATTCTCTGAACACACGTTTCAGTTCGTACTAATGGATTTACGTATAGTAATGTGCATGTTTGCAAATAACTTAAAAAGAATATATAAAAGTATGACACTCCATGTTTAAAAAATCGCAAGATTGCCCGGACCGTTTAAACTCGCCAGCTTCTCCGCATTTGTTTGTACTCTAATATCTATCCCTTCAAATCTCTCTTTAAATTAAATAACTTAGTAGCTGGAATGTCAATAAACAAAAATAGTTCCTTATCCACCACACTCACGTTTCTTGCCGGCGATCGAAAATCCGAGCGAGAGGTCCCGACACCTCGACGTGCCACGAAGAAATGCCGACAAGTACGAAACACTCACGAACATTAAACCTCGAATAGGAAACTCTCTCCTACTTTCTCCTTATTTGTCCCGAAACATCATTAGGTACAACTTCATGCTGCCGAAAACGACTTACGAGCTCGACAATTTAGTTCGATTTTTCGCTTTATTTCTCTCCGGCTCGTTAGGTTTTTTTCTCTCCCTTATCAAACCTTGTCTACGAAGCCATGCCTATCGAGAGATCGATCCCGATTGGCCCTCAAGTCGAATGCAAAATGTTTGGCCAATTTTCCTAATAAACAATAATTACCAACTTGGAATCCGAGGCACCGCTTTCTTTCGCCTTCGGGAACTGCAACTATTTATCCCTTAAAGGATTAATTACGATTTCAGGAATTCATTTCGTATTTTATGCGCTTCTCGAGAAGCGCTAATATAATTAACATTTATAGTTCAGCTTAAAGTACTTCATTTCCATATACTTCTGCTCCAAAGGCGTACTCGCACGTGTGTATGATAGTACTCTATAATAGCGTTTTATTAGCTTTGGGATTTGCGTTGATTTTTTTTTTTAATGTTTCACTTGAATCCTCATTGGCACGAGTCATAGGAAATTTTGCTTAATTTGAGAGGAGCGAAAAAAAGTAGTCTGACTTTTAAATAAAATATAAAACAAGATAACGATATTTTATTTAAAGAACGTATCTTGATTTAATGTTAGATTAAATTATTATTATTATTATCACGAAATTGTACCGGTTTCATGTATGTTTTCATCCGCACATCACGTGAGCACAATTAAAGAGAACATGTCTTGTACCGTTAGATTAAGTCATTATCCACAATGAGATCTCATTAAAATCATTCTCAAATAGCATTACCTGATCAAGGAAACTCCTGATCTTAGAGGTTTAATAGAATTCATACAAGTATTGAAATTAGCCACAATGAAGTGTATATTTCTAAAGTTAGAATAATTACTGGTGAGCGATTGTAATCCGAATGGTTTTTATTTGAAAGAAAAAAAAATGACTCCGTTACTGGAAACCTGAATATAAGTATTTACTTCTAACTAGTACGAAGGGGGCTCGTCCATATAAATAAAACATGTGCCATTTAATTATGCGCAAGTTTAATTATGCATCGATTGAAGAATATTAGCCACTGACGTAATATTTCCAATAGAACATTTTGATAAAGCAAAGCACACGTGGTTATTTAAATTTAGACTTGACAAGGGAATTGATTCACAATAAAATGTATATAAATTTTTTTTGAGATCCTACAACATAAAGGACGTCTTTTTATTTGTATTAACCGAAGTAGACTGCGTTGTTCATTGATCGATCAAGGTTTTAAATGAAATGTAAAATTTATATACATAATTGCAATTTAATTGAAAATAATTGAATTTTTCTCAACTAATTATTCCGGTGGATCAGTTCAAATAAAATTATGTTCCTTAAATAATTAATTTAGTGCCTTGTACCGTCATTAGAAAGAAAGTTTAAGATGAATCAATTATCCAACCCATTTAATAATATGATATTCAATTGTACGATTGAAATTCATTTGCAACTTACTGTTATAAGATTGCAAAAGATTCTGGAAGGAAGATGCCGGTCGGATTTAGGGTTGTGGACTTCTCAAGAAAATTCGATTTAGTTTCGTCTCAAAACCACATCGGAAAGTTTCCCTGTCGACGATACACGAAGATGAAAGAGCTTCCCTGAACTGAGTTTGCAACTCGTCGGTTTATCCCCTTTTATACATTCTTAACAGACGCTCGCGTTCGACTCTTTTTCGTTCTCCGCGATCCAAGATGGCCGCCGCGGAGTACCACCAGCGTCCTTTTTTTACAGAGACGTGTCCTTGGCGGAACTCGAGGAGAAATATGGTCGCCAATTTTTTTTTCCATCGATACAACCGCTGCTTTGCGTAGCTTCGGACTTTTTCTCGACCGGAAGTTAATGGGAACATCCTCTAGTTGGCAAAGACAAAACCAAAGAACCGCCGCGATCTGCCCCTACAGGTCAATCATCTTAACAAGTAACAGCTTATGTAACGTAAAAGCGTAGTCATTGCCCTGGAATAAATAACAAGGTTTAATGACATTTATTTTCGCGCAAAATAGCCTGTGAACGGTCATTAATAAATGTAAAATAAAATCACTTGAGTTAGATGGAGAGGAAATAAATTTGATTGATAACCTAATCGCGGAAACAGGACCTAAATAAATGGGCACGATATTTTTATAAAGTAAGGTACGAACGTTTTATAAAGTAAAATCATCCCTGTACATAAATCTGTATCAATTGAATTCTAATTAAACTGGAGCAAACAATTTTGATGTCATATTCATACCGTTTTGTTACGTGATGACAAAAAAATGATACAAGGAATCTCCCGAGAATAAAACATTTATCTGAATAAAATAGATGAAACATTAAATATTAAATCATTTCTAGTTACGTTAATTCGCACAATATAATCCACGTGGCACAATAAAAGAGTAAACAGGTGCTGACTAAGAATTCTCACTAAAACACGAAGATGCGTTGCAAATTAGTAAAGATTTGATACGTAACCGAAGCATGTTTGCACAACGGTCGGCATGCATAATAATCGTTAGCTGTAACAATTCTTCGTGAGCATATTATATTTTAATGGGAAACTTTTATTTTACCTTACGTGGGTAACGGCCAATCCTAACAAGTATAAAATAACGTTCTGACTTAATTCTTGCATTTAGAAATAAATTAAATGCTTACTTAGAGTTGCCGCTTTCTAACAGGTGACGTGGTAAACAGTGGATTTGTCTTATTTGAAATTCAAGAAACCGATTCGACTGAAGAACACGATAACATTGCATTAGCAAGTACAATGTTACATATTTTCTATTCAGAGTTAATAATTTGCTTCCTAATGTGCAATTGTCCAAGTACTGCTCTTCAATCCATTATATCTCTTGATCTACGCCATTCGAATCATTTTATAGACGTTACGTGATTCTTTACTTCAGCCAGTTACTGTTTCTTTTCTTAGGGTCAACGGACATTACCATTGCCGAGGTCGGATCAAGGGCCCGATTGTTTTTTCCCAGGACAATAGGAAAACCGTGAGACTATAATTAAATAGGATCGATTATCATTATACATGTTTACTCGAAAAAAAAAATTATATTTCCCTTAAATCTCCACATTTCGTATATCTTATAAATACATAAAACCAATAAAATTCAATAAACATTATTATTTCTGACATATTATTCATTTTGACTGAAAATAAAGTTTGAATTAAACATCCGACAATGATAGGAAAAATTCCTTAAAGAAATGCCTTATAATGACTGAACGCTGTCTTTTTAGTGGATTACAGGTATTAAATGAAGTAATGGTTTGTTTATAAGTTACTTCTTCCATAGAATTCGGGCAAAAATAATGTTAAAACTCTAAAGAGCACCCAAGTTGACGGAATCGAGAAAAAAGTCGGGATCGTTAAATCGTTCCAGAGATTTCGCCTCTGAAACGGGCCAAATTATCCTTCGGCCTTTTGTGTTTTTTACGTAAATCGCAGAATTTGCAAGGTCTTGAGTAACACTTAGGTTCAAGAATAATCCTTGCTGTTACCGATCGAGGCAAACGGAATAACGGTGAATCGGTAATTGTATAATTGGCAGAATAAGTCGCGACCCTGTTTGATGGTAGCTAGTGTATACAGCACGTAGAAGTCAGAATTCCTTTGCTCCAGATAACCGCCGATCATTTTTACGAGACACTTAAAAAAAGGGACGCAAATGGGATATCGGCAGTACTAAAATTTCTCACGAAGATGTTATGGCTGACGAAACTCACTCTGGCCACCCAAGAAGTGTAGAAAGTTATGGTAAAGTTGGTACCAAAGCATAAATAATAAATTCATTCCAGATCCTTAGGAGAAACGCTTTAAGGTGATTCTTACGAGCATTGAGTAACTCGAGATCTTGATATCTCCAGACATTTGGAAAATGATACGATGACTATGAACATATGACAAAGGCGTAAATGTAACGACTTTCCATTAAAGTAATAAACCGAGCATGCAGCTCCCATTCAATTTTTGAGAGGAAAACATTCTCGTTGGCAACATTTCAGTTAATACCTCTACGGGTATGCAAAATTGTACAGGAATTTAATACTACATAAAACATTCTACTCATCCAAATAAATGGAGAGAAATGTACAAAAGTGACAAACTTTGATGAAATTCTCTGTACGTTCGCAGACACGAATGTCCATTTCTGAACGTACTCCGAACACGCGTACGTACATTGCTGTAATTGTCACTATTCTCCACGTCATCGTTTATTACCTTTCGGAGACGTTAAAAGATGTACGCAAAACATACAATCAGTCATTTAAATATACCCACCTCTGTCGATTTTAGTCCAAAATTACATCAAAAACGCACGGCACCAGTTCAAAGCACATATTCGAAATCTGTCCACTTCTGTTTATATTTATATAAAAATAAGCAATGCAAAACACCTACTCTACTTCTACGCTGCACCGGTAATCCGTCCAATTCAGTGATTTAAAAATCAGGGGATTAGACTTCTTATCGCACCTGCGCACGCATATTAGAAAAGTCTATTATGTAATTTTTCGAGCATCGTCACCAGCATATCCAATCGAACCAAGGGCACGGTTTCCGAAGAGGAGGATCTACAATCCGAAGGTCCTGGAACGAGCTCACTTCCTGGATTGGATGAATCGGTATCTCTCGGCGTGTTAGTAGGTCGAATCGGCGATCGGCTCCATCGGCCGGTCACTCGAGGCTCGAGAGAAAGAAGAGGCTCGTTGGTCTAGGGGTATGATTCTCGCTTAGGGTGCGAGAGGTCCCGGGTTCAAATCCCGGACGAGCCCGATTTTTTTGCGTCCAAATTCATTTTTTACTTCGACAGTTTTATTTTTTTCGACCAATTTCATTTTTTAATACCTTTCCCCAGATCCCTAAAAGAGGATCCGACTTAACCTAGAAGAGAATCTGATTTAACCCAAAATTGAAGCTAAAGAAGTTTCCGGTAACCAGTTACTGCTAGCATACTTTCCTTCACACAGAAAAAGAAATTTGATTCGTGCGCGAAGTCGTGTAACTGCATTCGATTAATTTCAGTAAACGTATTTGTTGAGCGAACCGAATTTTAGTTCACTTAACTAAACTTCGATCGCTTTGAACACCTAAAGTGCTTTGGTTAAATTGTTTTTTAACTTTAGAAAACATTCTGGTCAAATCTTCCACATTAATTTATTATTTAGTCCTTCGTTATTAGATATATTTACTATTTAGTAATATGCAGCCTTCCCCAACACCCGATGTAATGAACCAAAATTTATTAACCAATGAATTTCGTCATATCAGCCAAATATTTGATTCTCCACATAATAATCATATTCGGTGATCGAACCAATCAAAATTTCATTGACTCAACCATATATTCTTCTGCGTATCTAGACAATTTCTTCTTCATCATTTGCCGTATTACAATTATAAAAATGATAAAATTAAACTTAATTGAAGTACAAATTTAAAAATACAGTATTTTTAATAGAGGAGTATTGCATGTATTGTTCAATGTTTTTACGTATGTGAAAGATATATTGGTTGCACTTTTTGATAGAA